AAACGTTCAGTTGCTTTCTAAAAATTGTGGATAATCGTAATTGACTTTTGAAAGCTTCAAAATCCGTAGATTTGCCAGTGTTTGGGGCGTTTCTGTATTTTGGGACTTTGCAAAAAAGAAGACCTTTGGAAAAATTATCTCAAGAAATACTGAAAGGCCAGCTGGATATGCGAAAAAAATTGCATTGTATTGCACTTTGTTTACTCTATCTGGCTGTTATCAAAGCTTTTCCAAAAGTCAAAAAAGAAGATTGTGAAAAATTGCCAAAGTTGGACATGGTAAAAACCATGGGTTCGAAATTTCGGCCATCATCTCAGTGATCTCAAGAGTAAGCGACATGTGAGTACGACTGCTAGAAAGAGGAAGAAAAGCTGCGTCGTATAGTGCCCAAAGCGTTTCCCTACCTTCATTCCACGTCTTTTTATGATAGGTTGGAAAAACGGAAAGAACTTTCGGAACGACCTAATATATAGATGATAGGGCGCAGGCTCTAGTGATGTAGACATACAATCCTCTTTGTCCTTTATTTTCAAGATTTTTGCGACGACGACGTATGAGATAATGACGTCACTAGAAACCTCAGACTAATTGGGTTAAATTTTCTTTACTTTTCTTTACAAGAATAGTTCTGGGTCAACCTTTCACAAAGGCTACTTCCATTTACATCTCAAAGATGATTCCGCCACCAAGGGTACTTTCCACATAAGAAACCAACAACAGACACGTTGATCGGGCTGAGGCATAGGTACCAGTGGCGTGCCGAAGGGGGGGGGGAGGGCAGCCTCCCCAACCCCCAAGAATAGATCGCGAAATTTTTGAAAGTTACTTAAATTTGTCATAAAAATGGATTTGTTTTTGCTTATAAATAATTGAAATAATTTTTACAAATTTTTTAAAAATTCAAATTAGTCTTGTATTTTCGGGGGCAATTTTGAGGTGAGGGGCCCGAAAAATTTTGAGAAACATACCCAAAAAAAATTTCGGAGTGCGTGGCTGACGCCACGGACCTTCGATCGAAAAAAATTTGTCGCCCACCCCCTCCCCCCTCCCCTGAACGGAAATCCGGGTACGCCACTGATAGGTATCAATAGGTTCAATTCGCTCCATCGGTCTCTGAACATAGAAAAGTACTTGTTATGTCAACTGCTCTGAATAGTGAGTATTTTTGATTTTGCAAATACAAATGTAGCATAATAGACAGATTGGGAAAAATGACCTCCTGCTACTGCGTAGTAGTCCTCCATCTAACATAAATAGCTTTTAGAGAATGTCGATAATATTACTGTTACTGCACATAATGGAACTGAAATAGGATGCTGAAACCTGAAATAAGCGTTTATATCACGTACGAACTGTGAGTCTTCGGAAGCCCTTCATTCTCCATTGAGAAAGTTGGAAAGTACTTTGTTGCGATGCATCCTCAGTCACCTCTTCGCTCCTCTCTACTTCAGCTATCGTTTCATCAGTTAGGTAAGTCGTTATATGGTTCTTTCGAAAGTTCTCTCCGATTTTTAGTTGCATTGTTTTAACGTTTTTTCTTAGAGTTTTACACTTGTTGCAAAAATATGAATGTCATCTGAAAGGGCATTTCTCGCTCTTTCTAGTGCTCAATAATGTTCCACGAAACAACTCCAGTGATGAAAGTCTAACAAGGAAAGGATACTTGGTGATCGTGGCCATTCGTGCTGGTTTGAATACTGTCTTTTATATCTGCGAAACGATAACCTGGATCGAGTTATGGTTATTTTTTCATGAATATATTGTGCCACTGCGGAGGTTCAAAATCATCAATAATAAACCTTCTTTCCTTTTCAAATACTGAATATGATTCAGATAGGTACAATACAAAGGTAGTCCTTTTAAGATTCTCTTCAATGCTTCAAACGGTAACCTAGAACAAATCCGGTGATTCTAAGTACACGAACGTATGCAAATTTTCCACGAAAAAAAAAGTCCATAACTTCATCCAGAAGATGTTTCGCAGATATCAAGCACATCCAAAATCAGCGTTATAAGGTGCATCTTACGGTATACATGTCATTCCAGACGGCAGGGTCACCGAGTATCATCCCTTGTAAGCCCCGAAGCCAAGTTGCCAAAATGCATTCATGTCAAGAAAAAGTTTTTATGGAGTGTGAATTCCCCCAGTATTCCCGCAGTTAGATATGTTATTTTTCACAATGGCTCAGGGTATAGTAGGCTAAATTACGCACACTTTCCCGATAAAAAGTATGTCCTATTTTTTCCAGTTTATTTCTAAAGGGGAAAGACAAACTCAGTTGTTCAACCAGCAACAACAATCTACGTATAACGACAGGTGGTGCATCGCAAACAATTAGTTTCCTCTTTTACGACAGCAAGAAAAAAAACAAGTATTAGAAAATTGGCATATTTGCGCGCGCGGAGGAGGTCTCAAATAATGGGTTATTTTGTTTCGTGGTAAAAATTCCTTTGCAGCAAAGATAACTCGAATTCTCTCTAGCCATAAAAGAATCTTGAAGTGTAGGCTACTTCAGATGGCAGCCAAATATGTCTGCCTATCTTTATATGGAAGCATTAGTAGGTCAAAGTAGACGGTTCTGAAGGAAATCTTGCAGAATTCGCCAAATTTTCTCTTCTCACTCCTTTGCCCTCTTTACAGGCACACTATGCTTTGTTAAACATAAGCTAGTCTAACAAAATTTGATTTGTTCAAAGATGTTAATTTTTAGAAGAGTTATAATATCTTTAATCAGAAAAACTGAAAATCGAACAGAACTCTCGAAACAACCTAGTACATATCAATTTCATCAATTTCTCTCGAACAAAGTCCGCTTTTTCATGTGATGACTGTTTCCAATTCAAAGAAAGCAACTGATATTATATCACCATGGTAACACCAGCGCACAATGTGCCACTGAAGGTGTAAATTACCCAGATTCTGTTTGTGATGTGACAGTTCCTATTTCTTGCCTCTATCTCACAAGTCTGAAGTACAAAACCATCAAGGACTATTTCCAACTGTGTGAATGCGTGCTTAAACATTTAGTGATGCTTCGCGCCACCACAGAGGTTGATTATCCATATTTCCCTTTTCGAATACCAGTCGATTACGTTCTGGTGTCAAGGACAGATGATCTCAGCCGACAGTATCATAGAACACTTTTTGAAAGGGTATGTCTATTATTTTTTGGCTGGTCTTTTATCATGACGATCAAATCAAGGCTTCAACTTGAATGATATTCCTTGAGCTTAGCTCTGATTGAGATGTCCGAGTTTGCCCTCAGTTAGGAGTGGATGGATAATCCAAAAGCCATATTGAGAATGGACAAACACTCTTTCGATGGTTCATGAGATAAAACTCTTGATATAATTTTCAAAATGGAATGCATAAAAGAAATCATACATAATTATATTGATAGTGCATAATTGTCAGACAATACACTATTGTTTTTTTTGGATACCACCAACTTTTGTTTGTACAAGATTATGATATGACAAAAATTTTTTGGTTTCATTTACAACATTAATAAGTTCGGAATTTAGCATTGGTTTTTGAAAGAATAAATTATGAAAATTTTGTTTGAAAATGGAGATGACAAAAAGGCACTAGTCAAGGAAAAACTTCATATACAATATTCGGTGGCACGCAACTCAATTATTCTAACAATTATATTGCCCCTCTCCCTTCACACACTTGACCGTTTATGGCTCTAAAGCACCTGTCCCGATGTCGTTTAAAGTCTGAGTTCACAAGTGGTTCATGACATAGTAGATCAAATAGATTTTGTGCAACAACTTTGTTTACCAGCAAAAATCACTTTTCCACTTAGCAAAAGAATCTTTACTGTGAATTCAAAATGAAGTTATTATTAGGTTTTGGCATTCAAAGTTGATTGAAAAAGTACAGTCCTTTGTCGATTAGAGAATATGTTTATAGGCTGCAAAGAAAGAAGGCCTTATCATTCAACATCAATATGCAGGTCCAATCTGCTTCACCATGGTTAGCACTCCATTTCATAGACTTTGCAGGGAAGCAGAGAAACTGCAGTTGTCGTTCCCACTGAAAGATGTAAGTATTTCTAGCGTTCTATTCCAGGCTGAGAAAGGGGGGTCGTGAGGGTTTTAAATAGAGAAATGATGGAACCTGTAAATGGTATTTATAACTCAATCACGATGAATTTTAGTGCCCTGTGAATCCAGCTGCGCCAACGTGCTGCATTACGCTATCAAATCTTTTCGTCACCGATGACACCGGCAAGTTTGATCATGTGATTTGTTCGTTAAAAAAGTGTGGCGTGTCACTTTTCGTGCGTTAAATTTGTGCAAAATTAAACCTTCTCCACTTTATGAGTATGTCATTACTTTTGATAATGCTTTTATCAATGATAGAAATATGGCTTGCTTCTTAAACAGATCCATTTTATTTTTGTTTACAAAATCCCAACAATATTGTAGTATACAGTTACTGCAAAGTCAAAAGAAGATTTTTCACCAACTATGAACATAACTCACTTTGCCAGCTGAAATTTTAGGAACAACTGGGATTTTTATGCATTCGCTAACAAACAGAAATTAGCCTAAAAATGGAATAATACGAGAGTGTTAGCAACGAAAAAATCTACTAAAAGATAGTGTGCTTCAATTTTTTGCGATCATGGCGCCATAACGCTGCAGTGTGGGACACCAAACTTGGGGATCCGTCCATACTTCGCCGAAAAAAGCCCACAAGCGCTCAAAAAAAGCCCAAAAAGTCGAAAAAGTTCGAAAACGCCAGAAAGAGCCGGAACGCAGAAACGAACTTTTGGTAGAATTCGGCATTATTTTGATGTGCAGACTACAGAAAATGAACCAAAAAGACTCGGTTGCGATCAGCATACATGCCTTAGCGCCAAAACGTCACGCGAATGGGGACGTCCCGGCTCTTTCTGGCGCTTTTGAGCTTTGGGCTTTTTTGAGCGCTTTTGGGCTTATTTCGGCGCTTCTGGGCTTTTCTCGGCGAAGTATGGTCCCTTACTAATATGGTCCTCATTATAGTGGACTACATCAGTGCTCCATTTTCTCGTCGAAACGGTGAACTTTTCCTCAACTATGGCAACGAGAAATTATTTTTCTCTTCAGCGCAACGTGATATGTTGACGCATGAGGTGAGGAAATTTGAACAAAAATGTTAGCACCATTTTTTCAATCAGCTAATCCGCTTGTTTTCGATTGGGCACCAAAGAGAAGTAAATATTGTAATCTATTAAAGCTAACCAACATGAACTCGAACTGCTTTTCTTGGAGCTGACCGAAGTGAACCCTTTGCAGATTCTGACGCAGATTGATATTAGCCGTGACTTAGCAGAAGTGAATCGGAAAGAAGTAGAAGAAGAGTCACAAGAATCTGTGATTAACGAGCAGCCGCTTAAACGCAAAGGACTGCAGTATCTTAGAATGAAGAAATCTTATGAGGACTCCTTCATATTACATGAACCTAGCAAGGTGGGAATAACGGATTAATATCGAAAGAACTGTGCGAAATTCCGCATATTACTCTTTCTATGTGTTTGACATTGCTAATTTTCCCGATACAAAGAATTACTGCTCTGAAAGATTTTATAGCGTTTTTTGTTTACTTTAGGAGGAGCCATACTTTCGAAGGATGCGAGAAAATTCGCTTGTTACGTATCTAGAACTAATGCAAGAAATAGAGAAAGACCCTAGAAAGAAACTGAGCGATCTCTGGAGCAGGTAAGATTGAGACTTGCTCTCGTACATTTGTAATTTAATATTGCAGATTTTTACGTTTCCAACCACTTGGAGTGATTCGGGAATATTTCGGAGAACAGATTGCATTCTATTTCGCCTGGCAAGGAACCTTCTTAACAATGCTTTGGCCAGCAACTTTTTTGGGTTTAGCTGTATTCGTTTTTGGCTTCACAAAAAGGTGATAAATATGTTACTTACTCAAAATTCATAGTTATCCTTCCCTTGCAGTGTGCGAACCAATCCAGCCACATTCGGAAACTGCACTGTGGTAAACTATTCTGGCGAAACTATTTTAATTCCTTGTAACTTACGAAATAAGTATGTACTATTTCGTCTTCAAATGGAAATTTTATTAGCAATTTTCGCTCTATTTTTCTTTTGTTTTATTTAGAATGTCTCAGTTCTTCACAACTTTATCATCCTGGTTTATGAAGTCTTTTGACAATGAATTGAACGCGTTTTTCGCCGCATTCATGTCGATTTGGGGTGAGTACTCGTCGGAGGAAAAATTCTTATTCAGATTATAGTATCTATGCACTGTTATACATATTTAAGGAACAATGTTCTATCAAATCTGGCGGAGAAACAACGCAGTGCTCGCTTACGAGTGGGATTGCGAAGACTTCAATGAAGTGGAGCCAGATCGGCCGGAATATCATGGAAGGTCAAAAAGGGAGGTGAGCATTAATCCAAGATGGACCGACCACAAGCTTTTCATTTCGTGCAAAGATATCAGTGTGTGACAGTGGCGGTCCCAGGATCTGTATTCGGGGGGGAGGGGGGGAACAAAGTCTTCTTCGATTTTTAATATCATGAGTATAAGTATAACAATTTTTTCGGAGTGCATGGCTGGGCCATGTATCAAAGGTACGTGACATCAGCCAAGCACTTCGAAAAAAATTTTGGGATGCTTCCCAGAATGTTTCGCGGGCCCATAATTCTGAAATTTGAAAAAAAAGCGTGACGCCAGCCACGCCTTCCAAAAAAAATTTCTTACAAAGCAATTTCAAAATTTATCTAATTATTCAGAAATATAAACAAGTCACTTACGCAATCTTAAAGTTGATGCAGACAATTTTTAAAAATTTCGCGAGTCCGTCCTCTCTCGGTCCGCCACTATTGTGCGAGAACTTTAGTGGTTTGTATAAATCTCCAAACATCCGCTTTTATAGAAATTGGATTTACAAATCAAAATTTTTTTTAATTTTAAATTGACTGAAAAAAGGTAGGACTTTCTGCACATCATTCGAATACTGAATATTCTTCCCGCGTTGGACATTTTGCTAATCAAACGACACTTTCAAACTATTCTTTCACAAATTATTTCCGATCTGGATTTTCAATTTAGGATCCTGTGACTGGAGAAACGGAATATTTTAACCCAAATATAATTCGTGTATTCAAATACACGGTCTCGTGCCTCATCGTCATTTTGAGCATGTGCCTAGTCGTGATCAGTGTTTTGTTGGTCACCTTGTACAAACTATGGGCCATATCGGCGCAGGATTGCCGCAAAGAGGTCTGCATATTACTGAGTTTGTTCAACAGTGTCTGATAATATTATGACTTCAGTATACTTTTTCTTGCTCAGTCTTCACAGCTTTTGTGCCTTCATTGATGAATACACTTTCAACAATGATTCTTGGTAGCGTTTACGGGTGGATCGTCGTAAAGCTGACGGATTGGGGTGAGTTTTTGAATCACGGTTTGTAAATTGAGATTTCCACTCTTGCCACAGTGTGGATCTGCGTCACAGCATATGAGAAATTCTAGATATAGGCTTTTACATAGATAAGAGAACATAAGATGCTGAAACTGCGCTCGCGCGGACAACTGGTAACTTGTAATGTATGTCAGGAGAAGCATAGTACGTGACAGTTGTCCGCAAAGGCGACGATGGCTGTGGAATAACGTCCTCCAGATAGGAAGGTCTCAGCTGATCCACTGTCATGGTGGCAGCTCACGATATGACTGAACAAAATTCAATCCACACGGTTTTCCTCCTGTACACCAATAAGCGTCCAGTACGGTAGCGGGTACGGTCTGGGCTGGAGTTTAATGTATTTCTTGAACACAGCTATTTTATGGTTTCGTTCTAAAAAATGCTCAGCTGAGGCACGTTTCCACATAGGTCAGATACTTGGATTTGTTCAAAGAATACCGGTCGAAAAAAAAGCATTGTACTTTCTGCCAGCTGTCGATCCAAAGCTAAGTGTTGTACATAAAGAAAGTTATATTCATCATTCTGAATTTTTGAATTTTACAGAAAATCATCGCACAAACTCCGAGTATCACAACAGTCTTGTGATCAAGATGTTTGCCTTACAGATGGTCAACAACTATACATCGCTTTTCTACATAGCTTTTGTTAGACCTGAAAACAATGTAACATTCTGCACTATTTCCGTCTTTAGTGTATTATCTTTAATTATTGCATATTATAGGGTTTCCAACAGAAAGGACTGTTTGGCCTAGGAGCAGACTTCAAAGACGTTTGTTTGCCGGGTACATGTGGTTCCCTTCTAGCAGTTCAATTAATTACTCACATGCTCATCAAACCTTTGCCGAAATTTACGAGTGATATTGTGATACCGTAAGGAGAGTCCTGATAAGGAGTAGGAGATACAAAATCGGTTTAAGATCTGTAGTGCGAATATTCCGACTGAGGAAGTGGTATCACCAAGATCGCCAGAACATGAAGGATATGATGAACGAGGGTGATGAGACTAATGTGCTTGTGCGAGAATGGTTGAAGCCAAAAGCGGAGCAGTTTACACATGGCGAATTCAACGAGAAAATCATACTTTTTGGGACTACCATGGTAAGTCTACACCTGCGGCACATTTTGTTTCGGTAACAGACACTGCTGATCGAAATGGTTTGTTGCTCGCAGAGTGATGAAATTTGCAACAAATGCTTGTTTCTAGATTCTTTCATGTGAACCATTCTTATTTAGATGTTCGCTGCTCTTTTTCCTTTGGCGCCTTTGATTGCTCTCATAATTGGGCTGATAGACCTTCGCATAGATGCTCTTCGTCTCCTATGGTTTAACAGGCGGCCAGTCCCAGTCATGGCGCAAGGTATCCTTCATGACAATCTCACACAGTTTAGTCCAGTGGTCCCAAATTTCCTCGGCTTTTTCTTCTGATGCATGATATATGAATTAAGCAAGATCAATCAAAATCATTCAAAAATGATAACCTTGTTGATAAGTGGCTAAACAACGCTTAGCTTTCCAGGTATCGGCATTTGGCTGCCCATTCTCTATTTTCTGCAGTATGCGGCTGTCATGACCAATGCCTTCATTAGTGAGTTTGAAATGATCTCATTTTTCTGGAAGTTGATCTAGCTACCAGATATAGAGCAGATTGAATTAGGATTGTTCAAACCCCGATGCTATGCAATGAAGCCCAAACCAAAAAGGATAACAATGCATGCATACATTAACCGGACGAATCCTAATTATATCTAGGATGCCATCATGTGTAGGAGAAGTAGAGTTCTCAACACAGGAAGAGCATTTGAGATGTTTGTCGATCAAGTATGTTAGACCTCAGGCAGAGTTCACGCGATTTGATCGTCGCGATTGATAGCGACAAGACATCTGAGCTATATCATTGCATGCCGATCTTCTTGCATTTCGGCTGTGGTAGTTTTCCTACACGACTAATCCTGACTAACTATCAAAACCGAGATACAAGAAGATCGGCATGCAAATTTGTAACACTTGTCTTGTAGCGAATGAATCGCGACGAATCGCGTGAACTCTGCCCAAGGCCTTACACGAAAATAATTTGGTTCATTTGTTTGATCACATCAATGCCATACATGCTTGCTACGTGGGGTAGTGAATTTGATATCTCAAATAGAAGCACTTTGATAAAGATCAAGCTCTGCAGATGGAGATGGAGATGCGATATCTTATCTGAAACTCAACATTCACCACAAATTGAGATCAACGTTACAATCTAATTCAACGACTTTCAGTTGCCTTTACCTCGGATTTCTGCTCGAACTTTTTCAGCGACTTGATGTACTGCGACATCAAGAATCGGCTTCTGATTGTTATTGTATTTCAGGTAATCACTAACTCATGGAAGAAGTTTTTAATCAGTAATACAGATGTATGTTTAATTTAGAATATGGTTTTTATACTGAAGTACGTCTTTCAAAGTATCATACCCACTATACCTGCTTCTATACGGGTAGCACAAAGAAGGGTGAGAATCTTGCATGCTTTGAAGACGTCATCAATGCTAAATCATTTCAGAAACGCTATGTGGTGAACTACGTGATCGAAAAAGGAGATGTTCCGTATCGAATCAAAAATAGGTACAGTATACTTTCAATCTTATTGATTTCTCGAAATACAGACGTTCTTAGGAGAAGGACGCGAAATGCTAAGCTAGCTTGGATAGTATCGCGTGCCAAAGGAGGAACGGGTCCTAAACTCATCCCAAAAATCAAAGTGGATGCCTTGAACGAAGCTTCTCCATCATCAGCATAAGGGTTTTGTGATCTCAGTATTCATTCAGCTTGTAGAAAAAATGAACATTCAAACTAATCCTTCTATATAAAACTGAATGTCTACCTGTCTGTATGTCTGTCTGTCTGTATGTATGTGCGGAATAGAAATTTTTATTTTTGAACCGATTTGGACCATTTTTTGGCACACATATACTTCGGGGCAGGGAGCGTGTCATAGGCTACTTTTCGTTATCGATCGATATCGATTTTATCCATTTTTTGCAAAATTTGAGCTACAGGGCTGGGAGTTGGCAGAGGAGGGTAATCGAGCATGCTGATTACAAATATAATATTGACAGGCCCGGGCGGAGCCGGGTTTGCCGACTAGTAATGAATCAAAATCGATTATTTGCGGTCTCTAATCTCATGCGAAATATAATCGTTGTCCGCTGATTCTGAACAAAGTAGAGGGAATAAATAGTCTGCGATCATTGTAACTAGTGGAAGTGGTCTATTGTAAAGTATGCAGTTTTCCTCTTGTTTGACCAAATAGTCCTCCTAACCATGACCCCACACTTCCTAGTATTCCCGACCTCCGCTTTTTTTCGATCCTCTCGAAGTTTAGTATCTTTCGTGAACTGCAAACAATACAAGCTACAATTAGACATTTTCCAAGTTCTTCTGACAAGGGAAGGATACTTGGTGAAAGTGCAGTTTCCAGATGGGATGACTGTCTTATAGAGCATGGAACGCTGATTTCGAATCTGCTTTCGGTATCTGCAAAGCGCTTCTGAGATGGGAGTTACGGAAATTTTTTAAGGAAAAAATTGAAGGTTTCGGAGAGGATAAAAACAAATACTTCCGGCGCTTTCCGGCGCTTAAATGGAGTAAGGACTAGCTCAAACTTATTAGACTGAAGGTATCAATTGCACAAAGTTTCCCGAGTAATCATGACACCGTCTGAGTTGGCAGACTACACTTTTGAATGTTTTATTGTGACTAGGCCTTGGAATTTTTGCGTCACAAATTTTCCATAACTTCCCTCCTAGAAGTGCTTTGCAGATATCGAAAGCAGATTTGGAATCAGCGTTCCATGCTCTATAAGACTGTATACATTTCCTTTAGAAACGCCACTTCGACCAAGTATCCATCCCTTGTGAGAGCCCAAGTGTAAAGTACATCACTCAGGCTTCTGGGAGATCGTAAAAAACGAAACGCAATATCAACATGCTGTTGTTGAGAAATGAACAATGACAAGAACTGTACTCATTTGTTTTTATTTCTTTGAGTGAATGTTAAACTAGATACCGTACCACCATAGACACCGGCTACAATGAACATATCTCAAGATACGTTAGAACAACGCACAACGCTAAATTTGAACCTGTGAATGGAAAGAATCATACCTTGACAATAACATTAAATAACAAGACTGTGAAAATAAAATTACCAGGATTTGGAACAAATTGTGCACAATGGAATACGACGCTTTGTTAACTTTGAAGGCCCAAAAGCCTCATCTCAAACGAGGTTGGAGCAAGTATGGAGGGACGTACTACAACGGAAACTAGTGTGAAGACACAAATAAATACAATAAATACAATCACATTTCAAAAGTAGATGCAGCAGCATTCTTTAGTTGCCCGCCATTGAAAAGCAGCAAGTATAACACATTATGTATGAGGGTACCTTAGTATTTTTCTACAAGTGTCCTGAAACAACAAACGGCTTCTTATGCTCGGCCTTCTACGGGGCATACATGGCATTGAAACGTAGGAACGGAAGAAGCAGTCATGAATGATGTGTGATGAGGAAGTGCATGTACATAATGAAAGTCAGGAACTCCTATCAAACGCTGAGAGTCATAAGAGGTCATAATTTATAAACACGCTTGCAATCAGATTGCCATTGGAATGATTATCTCATGGGAGAAGTATTCACCCGCTTACGGTACAAACCGAGTCAATTATTGCAAAAGTCCAAAACGCAAATGAATATGTAAGTTCTGCTCACAAAATCCAAGCATTCGATTTTGAATACTTTTCGGATTTGTACCGCTTGATATAATCTATCCAAGACAAGAAATGTGCAACCCTGTGATAATCTGGAATCATTCACTAGAAGACAATGACTAAAAATGTCTAAATGACTAGCTCAGAAGGCCGATGAAGTAGACATATCCATGCTCTCCTATAAGTAATGGGCAACGAGTAATACCAGCCCGACCGTGTGACAACAACCAACTAACTGGGCAATATGGCTAGAGTTTTCGACTGAAAGATGACAATACCTGTTGTGACGACGATAAGCTAGGCGCTGTCGGCTAGATTGTCTAGCGTTAATATTATACCACTGAAAGAATCACTACCAATATCAAGAAGGTGCGGCATTCCGCTTGACAACCGGGGGAGGGGGACGTAATTTCTCGCGCTCATATTCTGCTCTGAGCCAAGCGATACCGGTTAGAACAAAAGCAGACATCTTTTCCAAAGGAGCATCCAAGAATGTTGCACCACAGATCTTCTCCAGCCTAAAAAATGTGTTCACTAAACTTCAATCATCATAAGTTATGATTTTCACAAACTTGAATTCACGTACAAAAACGAATGCCTATTATTGTGTTCCAAAAGGTTCTCAAGATTTTTTCAGGTTTCCATAAAATCCAATGTCTTCGATGTTTCGGCAATATTACGAGTTTTGAAAGTATACAAATAAATTTTCCAATTTCTTGAAGGGACGCGCACCAAAAAAATGTCGGGAACCTTTCAAATTTCCGCGAATCTATACAACTTGAACTAAATTCTGAAAATTTATCACTTTCATCGATGTGAGAACAAGTTTCCTGCATATATTTATAAATACAGTGAACGAAAATTCCGCCAACCATTTTTCAAAGGAATACCCATGCAAATACTGTCTTTGCTTCTTCGAAGAAAAAACCTCGTTCCTCCTATGCGTGGCGGACCGAGGGTACCCTACCATACAAATTTGACGCATGAGAATGACAGTGTGGTATTAGCTGCGCAGGTGACTTTTTGTTGTAAAAAACTGTCTTCTAACATTTCTTGAAATCCCAAAAACAATTTAGGTTCGAGAGAAAAAATTTCGGAAAACGCGGCCGCATCAGCGCTACCTTTTCAAAAATTTCGAAATTATAAGCTAATCGTAACCCTGCCGAGCTTCCGTCGAATAAAAGTAATGTGCAAAAAACTAGCAAATGAACTCACCCTCCAATGAAGCCCATATCTGTCGTACTAACATCAGCGCGTTTCACAGCATCTTGCCATGCACGATGTGCAAACATGAGTTGATGTAAAGTTTTCAGCTGTTGCCTTTGTACTTCGTAGACTCTAGTCGGCATTGTTACCTGCAAACAGAAAAATGTAAGCAGAGAGAAGAAAAAAAGAAAAAAAAGCCTTACAACAGTTGCAGACTGATTCGAATTCGAATGAACACTGCTTCCGGGTGACGACGTGTTTTGAGCAGACGATCCGTTTTGTGCCTGCTCTTCTTGCAACTGTGCTTCCATTTGAGCAAGCATGCTATACGTTTTTAAGGCGTTCTAGAATACAAAGAAATCATGCATGTAATCCAGTCAATGGTGCAACAAAGAAGATACCGAGGATCTGAGATTATAGAGGTGATACATCAAACAGGCTTGGCATCGCAGGCTGAGATTCCGAATACGAGATGACATATGAGCATGCAAAGGTGGACTTGAGTCGGTTTGGGCCAGAAACATGTTAGTTGTTTTCCTGTAAATAAAATAAATTAGCAGAGCAAAAAAAATCACCATTTTTTTAGACTCAGAACGGAATTTCGAACACATAATGCTGCGACATTTGCGCGATTTTGAGGCAAATGTGAGGAGTTATTTTTTAACACATTGACGACCATGCAGTTTTTTAGCTGTCTGCCTTCTGGGACCGAGGCCTTTTAGAGACCAGCCCACGATTCTCAACTGTAATTATGCATAATGCCATCTACAGTACACCTACAGTAGATCTGAAAGGCTGACAAAAAAAGTAGAGGTTATTACTAGATTCACTGCAAAAGAGAGCTCATGGAGTGAGTTTATTTCAAGATATTGATCATTTTAACAAAATTCAAGCCTTGACACACATGGTGTGTCAAGCGGTCCCACGCGGTAGTCATTGCTTGACACACCATGTGTGTCAAACTGTCATCAATGTGTTAAACAGTTGCGGTAAAGAATTGTGATCTTAATTTGTGATTCCTGGCTAAGCATCCCACCCAGTCACTCATACCAATATGAAAATCACCAATCTGTATTCCCAACCAGCTCCCTATTTCAGTCACTACAGGTGCGAATTCGACAAGTCAAAGGCAAACTGTCTACCCGATGTTGACTTACTGCAATTCACCCGTCGAACTACCTTTGTACTGACTTTGTACCCTTGTAGTTTACGGAAATACAAGGCAACCAATTTTTAAACGACCAACTTATCTAGAAGTTCACAAAAGACAAACGCTTGCTTATTTTAGTTCCATAGTTTCCACGAGACCAAACTATTACAAACATAAGGCTATTTCTGTTTTCTGCTTTTCTTTCTGGAGAAAGGAAAACAGCTGAGCAAATCTCTCAAATGTGTATGCACTCCCAGGGGTCGGTTCAGGGGTGAACGATCTTTGTAGTTAAAGTTTTCGTCAACTAGTGACTCTATGGTACTACCGCAAGAGACAGAGTGCCTGAAAAACCATACAGGGAAGGAGAATTATTATAAGCAATTCGAAAATAATGACCATCTAGGAAATTATCTTGTTTTTCAAAAATTAGTTTTTGCTGGAAAAGGAAAGAAAACCGGTTGCAGGCATGAAAACGATAGACATTGCAGCAGTTTTCAACTATTGTTGTACAAGATTGGTACAAGCCAAAACGGAATCCGTTATGATTAGGTTTGATTGTTTCTACTGATCGCCCGCCAGAAGAGCAAACTGTACATGAAATAGGCTAATGATGAGATAGAATGGTCGATCAATAGTGAGATGTTGTGCATTTCTAACCAACTTGCTTATCAATGGTCGGTTGATTCCAGCACTTCAAGAAGAGGCCAGTGGCGGTCCAAGAAATTTTTTTTTAAAAACCACGCCTCCCAAAAAAAATATTCTGAAACGCTTCCCAAAATTTTTGGCTCGCATATAACCTCAAAAATTCCAAGAAAGTGGCGAAGCAGCAGCCACGCTTTAGAACACCTACAGTCGAGTAGATTTAGCGGTAAATATAGTGTGCTTGCACAAAAGGTGAAATGCGGTGAAATTGGCGCGTGAAGAAATAGTTTCGACTGTGACGTCGGCCAATTGCGCGCGCAAGATACCCGCGGTACTGACGTGGCTACTTGTCACGCGCAAATTTCACCGCATTTCACCTTCTGTGCAAGCACACTATATTTACCGCTAAATCTACTCGACTGTAATTCAGTTTCACGAGCATTTACGAAAGGATACATGTTACGTGCATAAATTTACGACCCAGTAAGCCTTTTTCAAAAACTTTTCGACTCATTCTCAGGTGGGGTGCCGGACGGAAAAACCGTCAGTTGCTCTTGCAGTGACAACAGAGAGCTTAAGTAGGGATTGGGGGGAGTCGGCGATACTTACTACAAAACTGACAAGGCCGACGAGCTTATTTCTCTAGAGATGCTACGATAAAAAAAGCCTCCTAAGGAACTGTGTCTAAGATAGCAAGACCTAGACCTAGAGCATCGCTTACTTCAGCAAATCACCAGTGTCGCGTATAATCGAGTACTGCCGATTGGCTCGATTTTCGTTCCCATCGGGAGGATTGAAATGCTTTGCTGACAGGATGAAGTACGCAGCTGCGTCGAGATAGAGAAGAACTCGTGCAACTTTATCCGCCTAAATGTTCATTCAAAGAAGTGTACTTTGTCACCAGTCAAAGTCCTTACTTCTGCATCTCCTTTTCTTTTTCTTGACTTCGCAATCGAATGATAAAAGTCGTACAGCAGTTCAGTGCTTCCCTCTTCGGGCTTTACTGGCCGAGCTGGTCTTAACGGAACGCACTCGTGAGCAGCACATTCAAATCCACTCCTAGGCGGGTGGTTGCTTATTGCAGATGAAGGGCGAGAATGCGATGCATCCTCATGCGACTGTGAACTTCCTGCACGTGGCAGACACTGAAATGAAAAAAAAAAGATGCTTGGGAAATGATGAGGCGGAGTGCAACTACCAAGAAAAAAATGCGGCGACTCTCACGCAGAATTCAAAAGTTTACGATAGCATGAAAAAAGCTTACAGGACTACTTTTTGCACTGGGCAGCTTGGCACTTTTCCGCAATGCATCTTCTACAGACAATCTGTCCTTGGATTTCTTCTCCCGCTCCTTCTCCTTCTCTTTCTTCTCCTTCCGCTTCTCCTCCTTCGCACTTGCTTCTTTTCCGTCCTCCTTATAATCCTCCTAAACAGTGAAGATCAAATCAAACCAAAGAAAAATTTGTTGACGCACTTTCAATCGACCAGCTCTTCTTCCAATTTCAACGAGTTGCTTAAGTTTTGATCGATCAAGACCCCTCAGGGTTATCTCACCCTTTAGTCCATCCATACGGGCAGTCTGTAGTAATAACAAATGAGATTCAATGAACCACAGCGCAAAATAATGTTAAATTAGGGCGAGTGATCAGATACAAATAAAACTTACACTGTCTTTTCTTTCGTTAGGAAGACTTTCCGACTTCTCAACGTCTGCATTTTTCGTGCGCTCCTTCCGCTCAAGGCCCTCTTCAGTTCGGTCGTTCATTTCCTTAGGCTTCTTCTCGCTACTCCTTTCTTTTTCCTTCTGTTTCCTCATTTCGCGCCGCAGTTTCTCCTCCTCCTTCTCTTTCCGCAATTTTTCCTCACGCTCCCGTTCTCGTTTGCGTTCTTCTCGTTCCCGCTCCCGTCGCTCCTCGCGTTCCCTCTCTTGCTGCTCCTTTTCCTTGCGCTCTTTTTCCTCACGTTCCTTCTCCTTCCTTTCCCGCTCCCTGCGCTCATATTCCAGTCGTTCATTTTCTCGTCTGACTCTTTCACGTTCAGCTTGTTCCTTTTCCTGCTGTTCACGTTCTTCCTTCTCCTTCCTCTCTCGTTCGAGCCGTTCAAGTCTTTCCCGTTCAAGCCTTTCCTAAAGTATGCAAATGAACAAAACGTCACAATACAGAAGATATATGCTGTCAGAGAAGGAAGATATCAACTCAAAAAAAAAACTAACAGCTTCTTCACGCTCTCTTCTTCTTTCCCGTTCTCGCTGCTCAGCTTCTCTCCGTTCCCTTTCAGCTTTCTTATCAATGGGTCGTTGTTTGATAGGAGAGAGTGGAGGTGATAATCTAAAAATCGAGAATGTTCTCAGACCAGAACAGCAATCCATTCCACTCACCTAGTGATCAAATTGATTATAGTTTGCGCAGAATGGACATCATTTTCATCTCCTGGGTCGTTTTCGGCCGAGTGTATTCCAGAATCAGGGCTGATGCCCTTATCGGGTGGTTCCTGAATAAAAAAAGAGAATAGTTCAGTCGCTTTGGGTGGTACTCTATTGCACCTTTCTGTCTGAACTGCCGCCAAACAGCGCTCGTAGACCATCAGGATTACTAGAAGATTGGTGAGTGCGATTATTCCCACTATTCCCTGGTAAGCCAGAGGACTGCAACATATGCTAACATAGAATGTCATGTTTTTCTTTCCTGATAATCCCGTTAGCTTCAAACAAAATAGTTTTCCAGGAAATTTTTGCATTTGTCGGTTCTCATCAAACAAACAACATGCAGATTTTTCAAACCATGCAAGGCGGCACGCTGGCCCAGGAAGTTTCCAAGCAAACTCTGATTACTAAGGTAGATAGAGATCGAATATTCAACGACATTCCTTAAACGGAGGGGAGGGGTGTAGAGGAGGAAAGACGCCGGTAGGGGAACGAACTCCGCCAGTTTCAACCGCCTCCGCGGATTACTGGTCCTGCAATGACATGCAGCAATATTGCAAAAGGACCAGTTGCCAGCGAAGGCGGGCTCAAACTGGCGGAGTTCGTTCCCCCTTTCCGAAAGACACTCAAAAACTTGTCCGAAGATGAACAACTCAAACCACATACCCTGGAATCTTCTCTTCCTCGCCTTCTTTTTTCCCGCTCCACTTCCGAATCGCTATCCATCGTCCTGTAGCGTTTTCCTTTTTTTGCCGAATCACGACTTTCAGAATTATTGTGAGTTGATGAAGAAGGAGCAGTATTCAAATAGTCCTCAAAAGTAATGTCAATGTCCGATTTTTTATAGGTAGCCGCAGTTCCTCACTCGATTACAGGAGAACGGCATTCCTTGCAGCGGCTGGATTGGTGAGGTAACAAGATTCTGCATGCTCTGCAAATACAGATATCAAAATGTGCAAGGTAGTCCCCTTTGACCTGCGTTTTGTGCAGTAAGATCAATAAGTTGTGGAAAAGCTTACGACTGGTAGCCCCTCAAAAAATGACTGTACTCATGAAAAGAATTATGGTCCTGAAAAGCTTCAGCAGTACCCTCAAAAGCTAGCTAACACAGCAACTGCTAGGCGGAGACGGGCGAGAGTGGATTGTGAAATTTGTTGTCTTAGTGAGATATAAACTTGTGCAGATAAATTAGATGTTTTTATAAATAATGGATTTTGAATTCTACAGAAATCGAAATTACCTCTGCTAAAAATTTCGGAATGCGGGGCTGCCGCAAAGCCCCTCCCTTCTCCTAAATACTCAGCACATTGCAAAGATATTATAGTCAATGCGGTCGCTTAGTTATCGTATAAGCTGATACTTGTCATGACAGTCCAGCACTTCGTAATGTTGCACTAGTCTTATGCTTAGATGAGAGTTCACACAATCTTGTGCTGAATATTTAGTCATATTCTAAACACTTCGATTTGCCCTATACTCAATGCAGCCCAACCAAAAGCAGAGTTGTGAAATGTCCTTGCGGTCTAGTAGCGAGACCAACATGGGCTTAACACCCGCTGTACTTGTAGTCCAGAAAAATTTCTCCGGCAAGCAGATGTGGCAGCACCGAGGGTGGCATTGAGTCTATAACTGGGCTGCAGCCGAAGTTTCGATCTAAACATCCTGCAGCCTCAAATGCCAGACTCAGCACCCTCAGATCACTCTGCTGATGAGAGCAGCCTCCTGCGAATCCACTTCTTAAACATTTTCCCGCAGGAGACTCAACTTTTCTCAGAGAACTTGGGCTAGTAGTTATGGACTAGTGCCAATCTTTACGCACTGGAACGCGGCCTCTAAAGATAGTCGAAACTTTGTTTTGAAGACGTTTGCGATCCTTCTTCTGAAGATCTACTGCGGATGGATCTAGTGCAGATGCCTTCTGTCGCTCACAGGTAAATGGATGTGACTGTCCGACTACGAGCAAGCGGATGTGCTCGGCGGTCGCAACTACTAATCTCTTGCTACAACTTTCTCAAAATTGTAGCAAGAGAGCTCTGACGCAATATTTGGCAGCTTGCGAGCAATGGCTGCATACTGTTGCTAAATATGTCGAACCAACTCTCACACTTCACAAATCTCATTCGGTGACTTTAAGCAATTTCCTGGGGTTAACTTCAGGCTTAAAACAATTGCCGGTAGCGTCACATTCACTTCCATCAGTAACGGTCCAAGAGAGTTTTTTAAGCGGAGGGTGGGGGGGGGGGGGGGGTTAGATTGCCATGCAGAAAGACAGCGTCATAAAGTTTACAACAAGCAGTCAATTGCATGACACGGCAGCTTAGGCTGACAACCTGGGATGTCCCTGTCCATTCTCCTTAGTCCGCCCACTGCTGGGCTGATAAGGTAACTCTGGGTCACTGGGAGTGACGGCTCGTGCCGCGCAGATCCCGCGTCGCGCGACCGCTTCGTTTGGGCCATGGGCCTCTTTCGTGGGCGTGCTCGCTGATCACTTTCTTACATCAGCATGGAGAAGGTGGAGCTTTTCCTAATAAAGCTTGAGAAAATGATTGGAGAGCACGCTAGCGAAGGAAATGCAGAGCCCAGCGAGGCAGTTTTTTTCTGCCCTTCATGTTGAAGATAACATTTTGTCCAAACCAGCGTATGAGTTTCCTTGACTCAAATATTGCAAGCGCTAATGCTATGGAAAGAAACATGATGATTCATACATAACTGACATATTTGCAACCTCGTTGATTTACTCACGTTCCAGTTTTGGGCTTCCTTCCAACGCAAAAATCGATGGCACGAGGGCATTTTTCGTCCTTAATTCTAGAGACTACCTGTTTACGTGCATGTAAGAATCTGAGATTCCAACGGCGTAAAGTATTGATAAATGTAAGCGAGGCGTCATAAAAACACTTCCTATGTTAGCCGCTATATACCAGTTTCTGGTAAGTACCAAAAATTAATATCTTTAGAAACAATCAATATTCCGAACGGCTATTAGTTTCGTAATCAAAATTTCAAGAATTTTCGTAAATCATTTGTCCCTTGGCCCAAGGTTTGCAAAAAATTAGTAAAAAAGTGATAGCCAAATACGGATGTTTACCCGCCTCATCTTAGGTGTAAGTATGTAAGAAATGTCTAAGCCGATTCAATGAAGTTTTCGATACGGAACACAGAAGTATATAGAAAAGCGTTGATCTTTATAACCAAGGTTCGCAGATGAATGGGGGCTTACCAACGTATATTTTCAAAACAAGATGAAAGAGGTCAAAGCTTTGATAGCTCAATTTATTATGAAAAAATTACCACTTCTAGCCATTTTTCTAGAGGTGAATACACTAGAGTCGTAAGATATATGCATACCTGCAACAATTGTTGAGTGGATTGATGAGTATTAGGTGAAGGTGCAGGGGCAGAAGAAGGCAACATGGAACGTGATGAGAGTATCGGAGTCGTAGGTATCTGAAACGTCTTCACACTAGTTTCTTTTCGGTCTTCAACTGTTACTCAAAATAAGCCATGGGGTTTGCAAAATTAGCATCACCTCAGAACAAAAAACCTTCACAGAGAGCGTGATTTCAAACAAAAGGCGCATTGTCATAGAAACAGCATTCGATTTTAATAATGTCATTAATAACGAAGATTCTTCACCTAGTGTCTGCATGCGAATACATACTTGATTTTGTAGGATCTAGAGTTTACGGGAAATTATACTTGAGAAGAAGGATCTTAATGAGTGTACTGCCGTAAAAAATCCACCCAGGTAACGCGATCTTACTTCTACTTCAACAAATTGACCATGGATTCAGGGATATATTTGTTTTATCGACTGTAATCTAATTGTTTTCTTGATGAAGCCGTCACTTGCACATCGTGACAATTTACAAATTTACAGCCGTCAGGATGTAAATTTGTAAATTGTGATAAAGCGTAAATTTTGTAAATTACTGCAGGTCATGTAATCAACTGAAAAAAAAACTTAGCCAGCAATTATGAGGCTCGGCGAATATCCAATTAGAATCTAAAGCATTAAATGAAAACGAAAGTGCATTACCTACATTACAGAACAACTAAAGGAACATGCAGATAACACAACAATAACGACGCTTAGATGCGATGCCAACAAGACAACTGTATGTCAATCCACGAGGTTAACCCCCAAATGAAAAATGCTCATAAAACAGTCAACTCAACGCTAAGTTCGAACCAACAATGATATATAACAGCGCGCTAGGTCGGCAGGGAAAATACGACAACACAAGTCAGTCACAATGTGGAACAAAATTAACAGTATTGATCAACTTTTTGAACTGTTTAGCGGACCGACAGCTTTTCGATGAACATCGGCCAAAAGTACAGTAAAATGCAAAATAACACTATTGCTATCTTGACAGCACAGCACTTTTGCTGACGTCTAAAATGAGATGATACATCACATAGCTCAGCGAGAAAAATGGAGTTTGTCTTCAAAGAGCACTTTAAAAAAAACTACAACAGCTAGCCTGGTTGGTAACTGGACAGGTTCAACATGATGAGTTTACGCTTTAGGACTGAATGCCCCATGAGCCTTTCAGCGTAAACGTCACGAATCGATTTTCAAAATAAAATTTTATCAATAACAACAAAAAAAGAGCGATGATAAAGTGAAGTACGAATGAATCGAACATACCTGTACCACACCGTGGCGCATGATACCACTTGAACCAGCACTATTGGTACCAGCTACATATTCACAAAATTGCTCAAACGGCCCGAAGACTTCTGTAAACAATCTTCGAGCTGGTCAACACGGTATACGGCGAAAAAAGTAAATCTGTGTAGTGATGATTTGGATGAAGCCGTAATTATGTAAGAGACTGTGATATGGAATTATGTCGACAGATCCGGTTACTACGTAAACAAAAGAAAAATCTTTGTAAGCTAAAACGGTCGAAATGCCCACCATTCAGCTGCCTGCGAAGTTGCTGCTGTTCTATGCGCTGTCTGGAGAGATCCGGGTCCTCAGCCATTTACTGGATTCACTTAATGAGTAGGTGATAGGTGTCGGGGCAGAGAGAGAGGGAGACGGCGGGGCGGCCGACGATTCTCTGCGTCTCTGTCGCACGCGCTACGGGGGGTGGCGAGAGTGAGGCGCGCAGAGCAGCGATCACTTCGCAATCACCTGCGGGATCGCGGGACCACGCTCGATCGACGCAACTTCTCCCTTGTTTGGCTCTCTCGTTTCACCGAAAATGCCCCTCACTTTGCTGCTTGCCCGACCTGATGCAGTCCTTTTGTGGCATTGCAGGTGGCAATGCCCAAGGGTGATCTCCGCATTTGCGCGTTTGCTATGCACATCTATACTCACCTATCATCCATTCCGAGGCTAGGAGGCTCGAATACGCTTTGTGCACAACTGAACTAGGTTGATCGTGTGATTAACAAGTTCATTGATCTATCTCATCTACCTGAAAACAGAGGAAGAACACGTTCAATCTTGTTCAGACAACGTGTGCAATGCGTACTCGAATCTCTCAGTCTCATAAATAAGGCCTCGGCATACCTCACACAATTTCAGTCGCGACGTAAATTGGCAATAGTCCAGTTGCTCATATCTCGTCGCAAACCCAACTTGAGCACACGGAAATTAGCACATTTCATCGACTCACAAAAGCTGAATACACCAAGCATTTACGGTGTGCGAGTGTTGCGTTTGAGGAAATCTGGCAAATGGCCAAATCGCATGGCGACTGAATCGCGAGAGATATGTCCAGCGCCTACTACTTCATCGGCTTCGAAATAATGTTTTTCAATTTTCCGCGTTTCGGTTTCGAGCAGTTGAAGTTGATTATAGCGTTTGGCTTACTGTCATTATCTGCCTTAATCGTCTTCAGCTACCTACAAAACTCTTGCCCTCTTTCGTGGTCCTCGGTTGGTTTTCGAAGATCAGCTTGACGAAGTCTCTGTTATTCATCCTCAGCTCTAGATTGTGTTTAGTTAGATGTCGACTTTTCTTTTTGCTAAACTTCATGTCTATATTTACAATCTGACTTTCTACAGTCGAGTAGATTTCCTGCTTAATATAGTGTCCCTGCAGACGCGACAACGCTGGGGCGTCAATAAATGCCTTCCGAGTTCCCGAGCTAGTGTTTTCCAGTGTTTTCTTTGCTTATCCTATGCTTTTTAGGTGATCCGTCGGTGATAAAGAAGAAAAGGGTAAGTTGGAAAGTAGTTTCTGTTTTCTGAGAAGTTCTATCATCGCATATTCACAGATATCCACGTAGAAGCATTTCGCGTCAGCTTCTTGTCTATTTTTTCTGTCATTTCCTACTCTTCTGTCACTACTTCTTTCAAACCTCCTCCTTGTGAGGCGTTTCTTTGAACGCTAGTTGGCTTGTCTTGCAGCAACTTCGGCTTCCATCTACAAGAAATAGCATTTCAATCAAGTACTTCATGTGATAAAGACAATAAGTCAATCGTAAAAACCCACTAGCGTTCAAAGAAGTACCTCACAAAAAGAAAGAGACATGAAGTGACAAAAAAATAGACAAGAAGCTGACGCGAACTGCTTCCATGTAGATATCTATGAAAATGCGATGATAGAACTTCTCAGAAAACGGAAACTACTCTCTAACTTACCCTTTTCTTCTTTATCAGCGACGGATCACCTAAAAAGCATAGAATAAGCAAAGAAAACACTGGAAAACACTAGTCGGGAACTCGCAAGGCATTTATTGACGCCCCAGCGTTGTCGCGTCTGCAGGGACACTATATTGAGCAGGAAATCTACTCGACTGTACTTGGTATCTAGTTCTCCAGGTCGCATAATACTAAGTCTTATTGAATCCATTTGCTGTTTTTGCAACTTGTGAGGCACATTTGACAATTGGAATGAAAAACCCCCAGTTTTTGTTATTACACCACAAGCCAGACTCAAGAACCTATCTCTTGCCGACATGTCATTGCATGTGGAATCATACTCTATGGTAATGTTTTTGGATAAATCGATGAGATATTCGTTTCCCTAAGATCATGATATTGTACTTTCGTGAGAGCTTCCCGTATCTTTACACTGCAAACTGTCGTCTCGTTCGGCGCTTGTGTTCAAAAGCACAAAAGTTGAAGTTCGTGTCTACAATGCTGTAAGTCGAAGGCAGGTGAGGGCGTGCATTGCGTATGCGCAGCACATGAATTGTACCTTGTTAAACACTTTGTAGATCTGAATGAGTGAAAGAGCTGCATTTTGCTAAAGTTGCTAAGATAGTTTGAGACAAGGGTGGTATTTTCACAGAGCGAGTGTGGGTTTTGCAAATTTCATAAGACTATTTTGACTGAATTCGATAAAGAAGCCACTTAATTGCATCTTCATAATTCATCTATACGGAGGAGGTAGGGCAAACGGAACGCTGGTCATCTAGTTTCAGCAACTCAGGGTTATAGGCAGTGTCCCGGCAAATCTTGCTCTCCGGTTTTTCCTCTTTTCGGGGCCTTCCCGAAATGCTGAACCCATATCTGGGCTTGCAACGCACGAAAATGGAGAAAATGAGCTTTAAGCTCGTTATGTCCGCATACGCTGCTATACTGTGAATGGGCAGGCCCGGAACGAAGAGGCGGAGTTCGTAAGACTTCCAAAGTGCTTTCAGGATTCCCAGACGCGCTTTTTCGCTACAAACTTCACTGATAGATTAGTTGCGCTGGGGAATTTGCCTTTATGGTCTAAAGCCCTCGAAGGCACCGTCCACCCAGGTTCTCGACTTCCATATTTTGGTCGTTCCGGGGCCTAAAAAACGAAAAGAACCCATATGGCTTTTCAGCGCATAAAAATGACGAAAATGACCTTTTCTCGAAGCATTCCAGGTCCGCATTCAGTAGAGAATACGTGTGGCGGGCGCGGAAGGCCGGCGTACCTTTACTGAATGCGGATTTGGAAAGCTTCGGGGAAGCATATTTTCCCCATTTTCATGTGCTGAAAAGCCCAGATATGGGTTCTTTATAACGAAAAGGCTCCGAAAAGGCGAAAAACTGGAAAACGAAATTCTGCCGAGACACTGCTTTTACGCGATACCAGTCGCTGCACGATTTGGCACTGCAGCGACGCTTCAGTATGGTCGTAAGCGCCTGCTTGGGCTAGGCTTGATGGTCTGCGACAACTTACAAAATCTATACACCTGTGCTTTCAAGATTTGCGCCCGCGTCATCTGTAGAAATTTGGCGAATTGCCAAGTCGCGTGGATGTAGATAGCGATTTGACGGAATCGCGGGGAGTATGCCCTAGGCCTGTCAAAGTACCTGGGATGCTTCAAGTTCCTCGAGCCTCTATTCACTCCTATACCTGTGCTCGGCATTTCCTCTATGCATTCAGGTGAAGTGCCGAATAATTATTGGAATCACTGATTGTGAGAAGCAGGACTTCCTTACAAACGAAAGATTCTTGAATATTTCTTATCTATAATGTCAATTTATTTGTACAATCGTGGAAGTTCCTCCAGTCTCCACTATTATCGGTTCCAGCTCACCAAAAAATTCCTTTTCTGGCAATTCTCCGCGATATTCGTGGAGCGGAGGGCGAGAAATCTACCATAGTATAAGATGGGTTGGAAGCAGCGCCCGTCCAGGTTCTCGGCTCCCATGGTTTTGTCGTTCCCGGTTCTCCTCAAGGTCCTGCTTCCAATGAAATGTTGAAATCCCGGAAACCCTCATTTTGAGAACCTTATTTCAAACGGAAGCTACATCAATAAATTCAGCCGATTTTAATAATTTTGCTTTATTCCAGAAATCTTTCTCTATCTCAAACTACCTTTGTTTGACGCTCTCCCTCTGTATCTTTTGAAGCACTTTAGTCTAATTACAGCTATTTTTGAAGCACTAATCTTGGATATTTCGAACTCTATCAAGTTCTTGATGAATGCACAGTCTCTAGATTCAAAAAAAAAATCACCTAAGGCTGGTATAAACAAATTTTTAAAGAGTAATTAGTTCGTCCCTTTGATAATTCAATTCTAAAATTTTTTTTTCGATTTACCGTTTCAAATGTCAGGCGTGATCAATTATGCCGCGTCTTGTAAGCTGGGCTTTTGCCATTTTCATTCCCACCTTTCAACGATATCATCACTGTCCTGCTTCGCATTAGATTACGAAAAGACTATATAGTTGGGCGGAAGCATGAGCAATCTGAACATTTGTGAGGATGAAATGTTGTTTTTTTTTCTAGTAGATAGCCTTCAACTTCATTTGAAACAAATGTCCCGCATGCCTACAATCGTTTAACATCTTAATCCTTTCTGTTGCTTGTCCATTATGCTCTTTGTGACAGCTAAGCTAAGGACGGAATGTGTTTGGGGTTGAAAAGGGGTCGAAATGCAGTAGATTCAGTTATCGAAATGGGACCCGATTGGACGACAGTTTCAGATGGGCCAGGATAACAATAGATGACGATAGTTCACTTTTAATTAACCTGTTGCCCAAGTGTCACTGCGCATTAAAGGCCCTAAGTCCCACTGCAAGTTCTATCTTCAGTGGTATTTACCAGTGAGCACCTTCATTGCAGGGAGATTGCAAGTATAGCACACGCCATACTTGATCCGCTTGATCCTTCTATCCACTTAGCTATTGGTCAGTTCATTGATTTGACCAATATAAGTGGATCAAGTGGATCAATCATGGCGTGCTTTCAGGGTCTTCATAAAATCGTGACGACGGATTCGACTGTGCTTTCTGCAATTGACCATCCAACATAGCTAAAGCAGAGAAAAGTTACCGACCTCAATCGCTCCAAACATCTGGCAACTGCATAGGCATGCTGAAGTCCCGAAAAAAAGTGGAAGTAAGAAAACTTAAGTTGCCAAAACTGTACACGCAACGCACGCAACTGTCCCATCATCACTACTTTATTAGTAACGTACACGTCACTTATCACTCGCTTCACTAAGACTCGTCATGAGCAGAGTCTGCGCAATCTCACGCATACTGTTTTCTTTTCGCGAATTTCTTCAATTTCTTACCATCGTTCTTACGACCCGTCTCTACCTACCTTCTCTCTGACGCTTTCAATACGACCTCCCAGGTGTGGTGTGGCAGTTCCACGCTTGAGGCAAGCTTTAAACGTGCTCAATCCCCCAGTACCCGCCGCATCCCATTAGAAGAAAAGGATATGCTTGGAAATTGGGATTTTGGAGTATATGTGAAATACCGCGCGTTATGCAATGTAACATCCGCTCCCAGATTCTTGTGGAGGCGGGTTGCCGACTTTCCCTGAATACATGGATAAATTTGTTAAACCTCCACGTTACAGCATTGTTTTTCGTACTCTTCTTATGTTTATTCTTGAAATCAGGGCAAGTCCGCAACCCGCCTCCACAGGAAACTGGGAGCATATCATTGATACTTATAAGTTACAAACAATTTGACTGTATTTCATTTGCGTGTCCATCTCAAATAGGTTCCGGGTAGAGGCGGGTTTAGGCGAGTTGCAGCGGTCACGTTGGGTTCGAGCGCGACCTAAGCCTGCCTGTCTCTAGCATTAACCGAACAATTTTGATTCTGGATCTGACTTACTAAACAAGTAAGGTGCTCGGCGACTGATATGTCTGGCGCTCCAGTTATTGTTGTCTTTTTCACTAGCTTATTCAAAGTTCAATATCTCTACAGGAGATAAACTTGCGCTATCATGTTTACTTCCGAGGTTTTCTAGCAAATATCATTCGTATAGCGTCATCCATATTTTTGGTCTGTGTTATTATCTTCATCTTGAGATCCTGTGCTCGTTTTAGTTCATTTTGCATTGTCGTTGCTTCATTTTAGATGGTCACTTCGAGATTTTGATCCATCACGACCTCCCGCAATTCAGATGAAGACGCGACTTTGTAGATTCGTGCTCTTCGCACTTGCCTGCAGCTCAGCTTACGGGAAACACGGGAAAGCAACCAGGAGTACGTTTACGAATTTTAGTTTAGCAAGTTGAATTACATGTGTGAATGTGGAGCTAGGCTCAACATCTTTGTAATTACAAATTTTGCAGATGTTGTTGTAACAGCGGAAGAAGAAAAGATTAGGGATGCAGCTGGTTACAATGCTATTGCTGAGATTCACCGGGAAATGGATGACGACCATTCGGGATCGATCGATCGAAAGGAAACGACTGGGGTATTTTTGTTCACTTATCAAAGTCATGGTCGCTATTCTGTCTCACAGTCAATAATCCAGAAAGCTGAAACACGCATCGGGTAATTTATGGTAGTGTTCAAATGAACACGCATTCCGCATGACCGAAAACCCTTGAAACTTTCTTCAAAGTAATTCAAGCTTGATTATGTTGCGCAAGTAATCTTCCAATCATCAAATTTCAATTCGCAGAAAATTTGGAATCTCTCATGTTTTTGCTGCAGTTCGTATTTCATCGTTGAAAAATTATTGTTGGAGAGACGTCATACTTAATCCTTTCCAAAACTTTGGCATACATTTTCTCAAAAATTTCTCAAAATCAAATAGCCGAACTTTGAAGAGATAGATCACGATAGTGTTGTGGCAATTATAATGCTTATAAAGATTTTGCCAAAATATTAAGTTGATGCAAAAATGATGTCCGTTATGCGTGTCTTTACTTTGACGTGCTATAATTTTCTAGAATACCTATATTTCTGAGTGCCATAAAGAACATCAAGCAGCAAACCTTTTGCAGTACAGTGCACATTCATTTATACTCACATCGCAAACGGGCAGAAAAATATGGAAGTATAAAATATGAATTATATGAGAAAAAAGGTTTTTTTTCCGAAACTTAGTATTTGTCAATTTATAACTTACTTCAAGTTTGTTAGTATAATTGATAGTAGCCTGTCCTGGGCCGCAGTCATTAGTACAAAATGCGATGGAAAAAATTGGAGAAAAAAATTTGCGGAAGGAAAAAATTGAAATTCCAAATCGTCAGTTTTTGTTTTCAACATTTTTAGTATGCCTCAACGTTCCAAATATAGAATTTCCGGACTTTATGGGTGCTGAACAGCTAAATGTTTTTGCAAAAACTGTCGCCAGTATGCCCTACCCTTACGCTTACAGAGAGCAAAGCTTTGGCGATTGACTTCATCAAAAGAAATTTATCGTTGTAAAAGACCGCAAAGGCTGCCCATGTTGAGGCGCCGATATCTCAGTCTAGATAATTTCAAAGAAGATAGTGAAGTATTGTAATGTAGACAACTTCTTTCACATACAGTAGCTAAATTTTCCTAGAAGGGCCGTTTATATGCGTTTGAATTCTAGCCAGGAAGTGAGTCCAGCGAAATTCTGATTTTGGATGCGGCTGTTTGAAGCCCAATAACCTTATAACAGATGAAGATGGAAGCTCGCTTCAACCACCATTAGGTAGAGCGTGAAAACCGCTTCTCAGTGATATGCTGTCTCTATGCCAAGAAAGATATTTTGGTGAAAAGTTGTTCTGAAAAAGGGCTTAAAAGATCGGCCATCATTTTTGCATCAACCTGATATGGCCATATGAAAGAGAAGGAAAAGCTACATGAATGCATGTTGAAAATCATTTAGATCTTCATTGTAATAGTCGCTTGAAAGAAACCGACAGAACTTTCGGGACAATCTAATAGATGATGAGTCAAAATTCTATTGCTCTAAGGATGTTATTTTCGAGGGTGTTTAAGACTGGATGAGTGCACTTTGGGTATGCAGCTACTAGCTTTGTAGTTATATCTAATTCCATTTCGAGTATTGGTCAAGCTCAAGGCGTGGCACCAGCTGGCACGAGGCAAGCTGGATATCGTTTTTGGGACAAAAAGCAAAGGGGATATCGTTTATGTCGACAAACTTTTTTTAGTCGAGTATCGTTTTTTAGGTTTTTTTTCAAGGTTTAGGGTTTAAGGTCAAGGGGGGTTCGTAAAACAGCGAAAATTAAGGGGGACTTTGTTTTGAAAATTCCTTGGTGCCGCTCGTGCCCAGCCCTGGTCAAGCTTCTGTTGAAGGGTTTTGATCTCGTGTCTTCTTCCTCTCCATTTTATCGCTCAGTGCACCGATCGCTAAATAAATAAAATACTGTGCGAAATCAAAACCTCAGACCGTTTTTTGCAAAAATAACCTTCTATGCACATTTTTAGTTGACTATTTGGGCATGCCAAGCACGGGTGGCGAGCAAGAGGAACGATAGCTGGCGGGTGTCAATAATTCGCGCATCTTTTACCGTCATTTTTGTCCATCAGCACGCAGAAATCTAGAGCATTTCTTCCTATTACGCTTTCATTTAAACGGGAAAATGAGATAGACTCTGTTTGCTTGGAAATGATGGTGAAAGTCGGTTATAAATATCAAAAAAGGGTTTTAAAGGTGAAATTACAAGATTTCAAGTTTTTTCTTGCAATAATATTATCAAACTGCACTTATCACTGGGCCGTGAGCAGAACTCATTAAGTCAAGCATTTATTCCAACTTTATTCAAATTTATAAGTCTGAAATGAGCGCAGTTTGAGGCAAATGCTGCATTGTCAGCAGCGGCTGGCAAATGCTATCGTTCCTCTTGCACCACACCGCCAAGAATTTGATATGATTTTCGTGGTGCTATAAATTTGCTAGCATGGCGGCGCATACTCCAGTGGTGAAGTAAAGTAAATTAGCAAGTCTATCGCACCATAGGCTCGAAAATTTTACTAACGCAGCTTCCCTATCTGTTTGCGACTTCACAACTTTTGCGAGTAAACGTTTCGCAAATATCGAAATGTGAGATCCGTAAGGCGCAAAGGCACCGTCCACCTTAAGTTTAGGATCTTGAGTTTTTGGTAGCATATGATAGTAGGGCCCCTATCAAGCAAATGCCCAAGTCGCGGCGCAGAATGACGCTTCGGAAGCGAGAAAATCGGTCCGGAATAACGAAGATGCACGAGGACCCCCAGAGGACATGCCCCCTCCATCCAGGCCCGCTCATCCGTGCGCGCCCACTTAGTCACCGTTCCGGAAACCCGGCCTGTGGGTTTCTGCGGAATGGGGATTGTCGGAGTTTTCGTGGATTCTCGACTTCATATTCGGAACCAGGGACATAGAAGGCCCTGAAACGAAAAAAAAACCTGGAAGTAGAGAATCTTGGTGGACGATGCTTTTAAACGGCCACTTTGACTAATAGTACTGTCAAGTGATAAACAATTGGCTCACTTAGAGCGTACGAGCACGATATGTTGCCAAATTTGATGTGTATACGCGCTATGGAGGGAAGGTGGAATGGGCAAGGGTGGAAAGGTCCGGATTGCCATCTTGTGCATGGGTCGAGAAGACGTTGGATTTTCAACTCATCGAGTTCGTTGCTGAAAACCACCGGAGTTCAATCATTTCCCTTCCCACCTTACTGTCTTGGCCGTTTTGCATGCATGTTCATGCAACTCTACACGACATGCTTCGCTTGATCCGGGAAGAAAAGGAGAAGTCTTAAGAATACCTTGAAAAACATATATTTTGAAGTTTCATCTTCGTGGTCAGTGTTATCTGAGGACACGCGCAGTTGAATGGTCCGCGCATCAAATATTGAGATACAAAATGACATGGCTGTACATCGGCCATCACGCTTTGCCTCGTTTCTGGCGGTCGAAATTGTGGGGAGGGGAGGGAATCTGCACGGTGTCCATCGCAACTCAACTTCAGCTGTTATCATTTCAAACAGCAATAATAGTTGAGCAGCTCCAACTTCTTTGTCTAGTATCTCAGCAACGCTTTTGAAAGTGCCGCCGTAAATGTTTCTGAGGGGGCCTGAGTAAGAAATTTTGTTTCTCATAGTGTTGATAGCTCGAAAGACTTGTAGTGCCAAGTTTCGCATCTATCATAAACGATCATAATCTATGCAGCGATGGTGGACATGAGGAGAAGTGGAGGACCATTTTTACCCGAAAAGTTTCCAAGGTGTCTAAGTGGACAATGAATTGTTTCCTCTTTTCCTAGTTTGGAATACGCTGTTAGGAGAAAAAAAAATTTGAAAGGCGGTTTTTTGGAAAATTTGCATGTTTCGATTGTACAGATCCCGGAGCAGATCACTCGTACAACTCTGTTCATTATAGAATACTTCTGACACAAATCTTGTTTGGGGGACGCCGCTACTGCTGCATAGACATTGATTATTCATGATAAGTGGACTTATCGCCGAAGTATTGCGGATCATTTTATGACTAAACCGTGGTTGTTTACTGCTGGAGGTGATTATTGTGCGCCAAAGTCTACATGGTGGAGCAAAGTAGTGATTGTATGAGTAAAAAACCACCCACAAGTACTAAAGCTACAGAATTTGAAACAATCTACTTCAATAAGGGTTTTCCGGAAATATCGTTGTGCAGATAACTACGGTTTTGAGATCAGCGTTTTAAGGCGAATGTCATGACATACGTCACACATATCGAAAGGCTACTGCCACCAAGTATCCTCTTCCCATAAGACCAGCTATGGAATGCCAGCAGAATGAAATGTACACATCAAACTGGATTTTTGCGCTCTATAAAAGCACTATTTCGATAATTCCATTCTTTGCAAGTACGTAGTCAATCGCCTTGGGCTCATAAGAAATTATCTCATAAAGGATGAGTTCAGCATTCTATGGCATGGTTTTGGAGTTAAGTCTAACAATGAGTATTTTTCTGTGGCAATGCCGCAAAATTGACGCAATAATTTTGGCGCATCCGTTTCTTCGATGTTTTTTTACCGATCAGGTTGTGTTTACAGTTCATGATGGAAGACATGCATATGCGTGGATCTGATCGAACCCGTCGTGAGCACGCTTTCCATGGTGATGACGACGCAATCACCGTCGATGACTTGTGGGAGGCGTGGTTTGAGAGCGATGAACGAGCATGGACAACCGAGCAGGTTTGTCTTTTTGTGAAGCAGCTTACAATAAGTTGCGGGAATCTGATATGGGCAAGAACAAGACCTGGGTTTCCAACGGTTAGAACCGAGCATTCGAGTTAAACCTAGCTCATGTCCTCACTCATAGCAAATATTGAGTCGGATCGTCTGATTTTAAATAGGTTTGCCCGCAACTTGAAATAATGGTTTTGTTATAAGCAAATAGCTATAGATCGTAGTTTGTTTGCAGATCTTGAATTGGCTTGTAAACGAAGTGAACCTACCCATGTATGCCGATCGAATCACAGAACTGAAGATTGACGGTACTGTGCTGCCAAGGTGAGCTTATTGCGTAATTAATTACGCATAGCAGATGCTACTGGGAACCAAAGCGAAAAAATGCGCCGCTAGATGCTGTAATTCTCTCATATTCGGGTTGTAGAATGTTGATCAAGAATTTTTCCATTTGCGTTTCGTCGCGTATGTCCTCTGTATGGTTTCATGATTCTAGAGTACAGTTTCAGGCGCGCAAAGATTCAAGAATGATTGAAACGGTGATGTAAATACTGTTAATCACTCTTCCTTTGGGTATCCTGAGAATCAAAATTGCAGCTTAAAAGCCGGCTTCAACCTTACCTAAGATGATTCTTTCTGAACTATCAACAAACGTGAAGCGCTGCCCATATTTCGCCTGAAGATAGAGTTCGAAGAATCGTAAAACGGACGCAGCTTATGGATTACCACATCAAACTTCAAATAAACCATTCTTTGATGGAGTTTGAATCCAATGTCTTCTATTAGTTTGAGTAGTCCCTATCCCTTCATGCATACGAAAGTGCGCCGCGGCAAAGAAGAACCTCGTCCATTCACTTGATAATTTTTCTATACGAACGCAATAGTACATTAACTTTTTTTATTGTACTGCTGGTGTTATACCTAAAACCAAATTTTATGAGGTAATCTAAACGAAATTCTTCTTGGTTGAGATTAGCCTCAATTACACACTTACAGACTGGCTGTGCACAATTCAAGTTTTATGACCAATCAGTTAGGAATAAAGTCATCGGTCCACCGACAAAAGCTGCGCTTGAATGCCTTGGATGTTGTTCTCTTCGGCCATCGTGACCCATCCACCAGAGGAAAAGATATTGCGCTTGCACTGCTGGTAAGAACGCTTGTTGAATGCGGTTCATAATAATACGAATACGCCTTGCGATTCCCGATAGAATTCTGATTGTAGCATAATTTCTGGCGGTACATTATCCTACAAACACCCTAGAGCACTGTTTTTTCACTTTTTGGAAAAAAAATTTCTATACCAGGTCAAATCGCGCAGCTCAAAACAGGTATTTCAAGAAGAAAACTTCATCCCACCACCACGCTAGAAAGAGTTCTGACCGTAGAATAATTTCTGGCGGTACATTATCCTACAAACACCTTAGACCACTGTTTTTTCACTCCTTGTTAGAATTTTGTGGCAATCTAATTCTTGTTGATTCACTGATTCAGTGACTAATTTATTTTCTATACGCTATGCTTGCATCTTGTTGGAAAGAGAGCCATCGCGTATTATGCTTATGGACTCACTCTGCATCGAAAATGGTTCTGCTGAGGTTTTGAGTCTCTAGTGAACTTATACGAAGGAGTTAAAGGAGTCGCAGCAAAACTTCGTTTTCAGATTCACCTTTTCGGAACCTCCTGGCCGTTAGGAACCATCATTTGGGCTTTTAAGCGCATGAGAATGGTAAAAATGAGTTTTTCTCGAAGTCTTTCAGGTCCGCATTCAGTAGAAAGTACATGTAGGTAGGCGGAGTTCGAAACGAGGGAGGCGGAGCGCGAACACTTTCACCGTAGCGACCTAAAAGCTTCGAAAGCGGCTTATTTTCGCCATTTTCATGCACTGAAAAGCCAAGGTATGGGTTCCTCATGGTGAGAAGACTCCAAATAGCTGAAACAAACGGCGAATATTTGCCTAGACGCTGCCTCCAAGTGCTAGCGAATTTTTTGTAGATTATGATGACCGGCGCTTTAGCCTATGTACCGTCGCTGTCTCCAACCCAGTCTGTTTATTGCACGTTAAATTTAATCCCTCAGACGGTTCTGTTCATAGAACACGGTTGAGTGAGGTGATCGTGTTGTAATGATATGTACGTGTACGTATGCATAATCTAAAAACTTTACGACATTGTGCATATTGTTCATGCAATAGTGAAGGTGTGTAAAGTCGACTTTCCCCGAAGCGTGTCACACTGTCACCTTTGATTTTAACTCTGCATAACGTAGCGCGTAGGAACCACGTGGCCGGTAGCCTCGTCCGCCCAAAACTCTTTCGCGTTTACTTGGCTTTCTTTCTTCACGTTTCGTTTTCGGCTTTCTGCTTTCACAGCATGCTGGTTTTTTATGGCATATTTGAGAGTGATGTTCGAAGCTCTTTTTTCACTATTTACCTCTGAATTCTGCATCTCGCCTAATTATTGTGGCGAAATCGTAAAACTTTTAAAGAACAAAGATGACGATTAAAAATTCTCTGTTTGACGTTCATTTGTAAATTGAGATGCATTTTACCAACATTTTACTGTAACCATGCGCTAAACACAAAACCACGATTTGATGCGACGAAAAAAGTAAAGAAAGGAGGGAAAATATGTTGCAAATTATAATTAGAATTTATCAGGCAAAGAAATTGCAGACGATCGGTCAAGAATAACTATAGCTCTGCCAGCCGCTAGCTGCCAGCGGCTAGCTGCCAGCTGCTCGCGCGCGCAAAACAGCAAACAGTCCGCCCTCACTCTTTCATAAAATTGAGAAAAATGATTTAAAATTTACTTGCAGACCGTATAGTTCCCAAGTGCCGGTTAGAGCTGGCAATGATCCACAAACGCACGCCGTTGACAGTGCAAATACACGCAGTCATCGTAACACAGCCCTTGCCTTTGTGGTTCCACTCATAAAAATTGGCTGTGCCAACTCGCACAATCATACTTTCGGTGCTATCTGCTTCTCAGCTTGAAACCTGATGGTAGTTTGCAAAAAAACATTTTCGATGCGAATACATCATCATTGTACGATTGACTCAATTTTAAAGAATTTCAACAGAAGTCAAGTTTTAGTCTAAAAGCGCGCTAATCCTATAATAGAGTGGGGCTGGAAAACGGCGAGTACACAACTTTTTCAAGCATTGGTCACTAATCTATACAGAATATTACTTGTATTTTCTGGTTTTGGTATGGGTTGACTATAGACTTACAGCCTCGATAGACCAAGACAATAGAATAGTCACACTATTTTTTTTATCAAAATACGATAGTGCCAGCGTATAGTAATGAATCTGGGTTTTAAAGGCGGTCTGCGGGCAAGAAGTCTTTGGGATTTTTGCCTAACTGGGTCTGTTCGTTGTGCTGAATCCGAAAATTCAAACTGGAGAGCGCAGAGGCGAAAAAGGACTCTAACGAAGGAGGGAAATTGCAGGGGGACTAGGTCATTCTATGAAGTCACCCTATCAACTTCGGGAGTGATCTTCTGGTTCCGGCTTCAAGCCACGCGTTCGCTTGACCGGTGCCAGTTTTTGTTTTAAGAAAAGAGGCTGCGAGCGGTGCGGTCAGTGCGGTCAGCTGCAGTCAGCTGCAGTCTGCTGCAGTCAGTGCGGCAGTCTGAAACAACCCTTAGGACGGCTAGCGGAAGGGAGAAGATCGCTACGGAAGTTGGGAGGGTGGCTTCATAGATTGAACAACCGGGCCCACCTGCTGATTGCCCTTCTGTCTTGGAGCCCTTTTTCGCCGTTTTCGCGCTCTCCAGTGTGGATTCGGATTTAGCATAGCGAATAGGCCATTTATGCAAAAAATCTCAAAATCGACTTTTTGCGCGGACATGGCCTTTAAGTTCAGAAAGAGCTTTGAGATGTTCGTCTGCTCATCCGCTAAAATCCCGCTTGGCTCAGATTCTTCCCCAAAATTGTCGAATTACAGTTTTATGCTGTTAGATACCGTTTTCGGCTACGTCCTCTCATAAGGCTTTTTCGTACCTCTTTCGAAGATCTCGGAAACCGCAAAAGAAATGGTGTATATGTTGTGAACCGCACTTTGTATGCTCGGATCCACTTAAATTACATGTTGTCAGCTCCTCCTACTCACCTCTGTTCTTATTCTCTACGTCAAACAAAGACAGCGAGCACGGATGCAGGTGACAGAGTTATCGCAAAAGCTGAAGGAATTGAAGAACATGGAAAATGAATTCGATTCCGTGCAGAAGAAGTGGAATGAAGAACGGAATAAGAGGTACATTGTTGTAAGAATTATACCGGTGGTTAATAATGTGAGCACCGTTCTCAGATCTACTGCTGATGGTGAGGTGAGCCAGACTGAAGTTGACAGCTTACGTGTGCAGCTGGAAGAAGCTGAACGTAGGTGAGTGCTTCTCGACATTAATTCTCCCGAAATCGCAAGTTCCTCATCTTTCTTAGTAATGTACCATTGTTATTAGGCTGGAAGAGAATGGAACAGGAGGTGTGCCTCTTGCACTTCAACCACTTTTAAGGAAGACTTGTGAAGTGGAGATGGCTTTTCTGGAGAAACAAAAGCAAGAGTATGTCAATTTCTTATCCGCTTTGCCAAGATGATCTCTCTTTTTTTGTTGAGATGCGTGAAGGAGATGCGCGACGCTATAGAAATGGTAGATCGCCTTCAGAAGAAGCAGTCAAGTTTAATGTCTTCACTTAAGCTAGCAACAGGAGCTTCTTCGTCCAGTGATCAAGTGGATAGCAAGATTTTCGCTCTGAAGTATGTTGCTTTTGGTTGGTGCTTGTGACTAATTTTGTCGACCTGTAGCAGAAACGTTGTTACACTTTGTTTTTGGCACAGCATACTTTGATGGCTATCCCGTAAGCATCTTTTTGGTTGTAACCTCATCTTCGTTGTAACCTCTGTATATAAACTGCGCTTTAAGACAAAAATGGCCTCAACTTCTTCCCCTAATGATTGTATATATCTCTGAACAAACGTGCTCATTGAAATTTTGAATTATGTGTTCACAGATGATTTTTTCCTCCCGTTTTCTATCTATAGTTTTGGTTAGTGATACTCAACCTGTCCTTTGACTTTCCAGAAGCCGTATGGATAAAATACAAGTGCTCACTCGTGAAACACAAGAGCGATGGCTCCAGATCGAATCACTGTGCGGCTTCCCTATTCTTTACATGAATGGTAAGTTGCATGAAAGTTAATTATGCATGCACTTCTTTGTGCTATACTTGATTAACTTGATTAGTACATTGTCATTTATGATATTAGTCCATTTTTCTACCTTAGAGATAACTATACATTTGTACATCTCAGCTATACATTCTCTATCACTAAGGCACTAGCGAATGTATACATCCGCCAATCTTTAAAGGCACCGTCCACCCAAAATCTTAAATTCAATATTTTTGTCGCCTTCAGGCCTTCTGAAAGCCCTGATTCCGAGTATGGAGTCGAAAATCCGCGAAACCCCCAAAAATCCATGTTTCGAGAACCCTCTGCAACAAGCGCAGGCGAGATAAAGCATGCAAGTGGGAGGAACGACCATGGTCGCCCGCCTACTTTGCTACTTCCGAATCGGATTTCTCGCTCCAGAAGCAGTCTTGTGCGGCGAAGCTTGGGGGTTTGTCTAGTGTGGGGGCCCACACTACTATGCCATCATAATCTCGCCCACCTCCATTTTGGGTGAACGGTGCCTTTCATAGCTCAAAAAAGCTGCCATGAACTTGAGAACTGGATTATAAAAATGGACGAAAATTGTTGCCAACGTTTCAGAAGCCGTACCACTCATGCAACGGTCCACTTCCTCGTCTCACTTCTACGGTGCCAACTCAGGTATGTCAGAATCGTCGGACAATGTGAGCTCGTCTAGTGGCAGCTTCCTTTGATTTCTTAGTCGTTGTGAGCGTTGTGTGCCTAATGATATTTTCACTTTATCCCCGTCTGTCCTGTCATCTCTGTGGTTTCGTCTATTGTTATGTAGTGCGCGATGGCCCAGCAGTAATGTTTAAGTGCATTTTTATGTTACAAAATCAAATTCCTTGAAGAAAAACTAGTACGAGATTCCTGATTCGCTTCAGTCATGCGGTTTGCGTACGAATGTAGAAGAGTTGGTAGTCTAATCTTGTAGTATATATCTACGTAAATGCCTGGGCTGAGTAGTGAACCATAGTCTTGAGAATTGTGCAAAAAAATCAAAACAGAAAGCACTGGAATTTTCACGAAGCACTGGAAGTTTTGCTTGTGATATCTGTTTTATTTCACTTCTACATCTTGAGTTGCTTTTTTTTTCAAATTAGATTTTCTCCCCTGTCAGATTGCGTTCAACTTGTCCACCCGCAAGGTATATTAACCAATTTATATCAGCTATGAAGTGTTTCCGTTAGTCATCTTTCCGTACATTGTCAATTTATAAAGGAACTTGTCTCTTTATTGCAACATGTGTTTGACATGCGAGCACTAAATGTTTTGTTTTGTTTCGTATGTACTTTGAAGCTTGTTCTTGTGTGGTGGTGGTAAAGAGAGACTTGTTTCGTGTCTTCTTTTTGTTGATTTGGTTCGCCATCTTCGATCAGACTTTGTTTTTTGCTTATGCATACCTGAGTTATCTAATTCAAGACAACTACCTAATGCCTGTAACCATCGCTTTTGCACGATTTCAGTCGCATCGTCGGTATCGTCGAAATCGGTGCCGTCTTCCTCCGGATCGGTCGGTCATGTTAGCAGTCATACTATCTCTGCTAGTGCGAATACTACTCCACCAGTGGTCGTTCCACAAAAGCCTCCATCGTTCCTTGCTGGTTCTTCCAACGGGAATGCGCTTACGAAGGAATCAGCTAATGCCACGAACGGTGCTGCAGGTGGTATCTCAGTTCAGCCGCAGCGCATGTAAGTTGCCGATAATTCATATGTTGAGTTCGCTTGCTATAATACGCTTATTGAAACCACTGGCTCATAAGTTTGCTTCATACCCGCCACTTATAAGTTACTCACATTCCAGGGTGACCGAGGATAACCTTTCTCTCACATCCGCGGATGGAAAGAAAAAGAAAAATTTACTGAGATTCTTCAAAAAATCTTCTTCAAAGAATCTCATTGTAACTCCCGAATGAGTAGCTTCTTCAGTTAGATATTGCAATATTGGTTGTATACGTCTGTGTTTGTTTTGCCAAGTTGTGTTGAAATGCAGGTATGCTCAGTTTATTTGTAGTCTTAACCTTCCCTTTACTAGCCGCAAATTCAGCATGATGACACTATGCAACTCTTATAAGTTTTAGCCAGTTCTCACAAGCAGCGTTTACATATCATCTAGGTCATTCTAGTTTGTATCTTCTATGTATGAAACAATATGACACCATAACTTATTCAGAGCCTCTATACTTGTCGCATCAAATTGCTCCTGGAGACGGTTCCCCGCATCAGCCACCTTCGATCTAGTTTTGAGTTCTCTTGTTGTGATATTCGTTTGCCTTGCCTCATATCATTCATAAAGTGCTTGGTATATTTGCTGTATTAACTAACTGTCTTACTTGTCTGATTATAGCAATCATTGAATCTATTGGTAGTCGCAGTTGTGATATAAATGGCTCGAACGGGACTCTTTAAATTATTCCCCCTACTTCATCGCTAATAATGCCGCTTGTGATTATTTTTAACTGGTTAAACCGTGATGCTTTATTTATTGTAATAAATTCTGATGAATCATTTATTGTTTGAATGTTCGTTTTGTATTCAAGTACTTCGAATGATACCTACATGCAAACTGGATTTATGTCGTAAGATGGAGCCTTTGCAGATTTCAAGAATGGCGAAGGGAGTATTGGGAAATATGAATACGCAGAATAAAGGCGTGGTAAAACCTGCAGAAAAGAAGGAACAAACTTTGCATGTGGTGAAGATCAAAAGGATACCTTACGGTCTTTTCGAAAAGGTGTGGTCTACATTTGAGTAATGGCTATTGCCGGACGTAGGCGCAAAAGCGAAGGGGCACGAACGCGGTTCCATTAGCCGCGGAGCGCATGAGATGTAGGATATATGTATAGAGGTGAGGCACCCGCCATATTTGATCCGCTTAATCCACTTGATCCGCTCGATTCGCTTCGTCATTGGTCGATTCAGTGGATTGAGCAATAGCGAAGCGGTTGTCCGCTTGATCCGCTTGTCCCACTTCATCCACTTCACCATTGGTCAGCTCACTGAATTGACCAATGATGAAGCGGATCAAGTATGGCGGGTGCCTGAGACGCGCGCTGCGTTCGAGCCCGCTCAACTAGCATTGTTTTTGCCGCCTTCGTCCAGCAGTAGCCTATTTCAAGACGATGAAATTGGCGCATACCATTTCATGCTTTTACCCCCCAATGACAGCGTCGCCCGGCTTGTGAAACTCGCTTGCGCGGCCGAAACGCTTGGAACCTTCGCCAAGTCTGCGATGTTTGCTCTGGACATGTCCACGCGAATTCTATTCTAAGTTGATTGGCGGGGAAGTATATACCAGCAACGTTGCGGACGTGACGCATGGTGAGAGGCGGCAGTGCGGTGCCCGAGCCGCGCAAGCCGGCGACCCTGTCACCGGGACAGTGAATATCTATCTTGCAACGTTTGCATTGAGTTCTAATCAGGATGAACGCATTTATCATATCTGTTTTTAGCAACTATGGGAATACTTTACTCAGTTCGGAAAGGTTATTCGAGTTCGCGTAGCACGAAGTGTTAAGGTTTGCTTTAATGCTTATGAACTTGCAAAGAAGGCATCATGATGATTTCTTAGACGGGGAACCATAAGGGATGGGCATATGTCGGCTTCGAAGATAAAGAAGTTGCTGAAATAGCTGCAGAGACTATGGACGGTTATTTGATGTTTGAGAAAAGGCTCAGCTGTCATGTAAGTTGAGAGTCTCGCTGTCACTGAATTCGATTCAGCAGTCGGTTTAGGTAATGGATCCAAAAGATGTTCCAAGAAGTATGAAAAGTGGATCTCGATATCTCGCTCCCCCTCACTTGAGAGGAAAAGCCAAAAAAGAAGCGCTGTTGAGAAACACTGCGAAACCACAAGAACAAGAGGAGAAAAGCAAGGTTAGTATACTCAGCTTACAGGCTGCGTTTCGATTAGGTTATCTATGAAATAGTGACGACGGGTTCGATGGTGGTCTTTACGCCTGCCCAAGCTTTATAAAAGCATATAACCTAAAACATTTTACCGCTTAGCTCTGTCTCATTGCTAACTTATACACTTTAAGTGTCTCATTGCTAACATAATACATGCAAAAAAATGTTCCGAAAAGAGAAGAAAGCAAAGAAAGTGCGATTATTAGAAGTGCGTACGCAGCGCACGCGGCTGAGCCGTTGTCACGATTTTGGAACGGCCTCTACCAACGCGGGCATGTGGATCAAGTCGTTTTTTCTTCGTGTCCTTTATCGTTATTTGATGTTACTTTAAAACGAAGCACAGGGGTTGCTGAAACCTACAAAAATTGATGTTGAATTAGCACCAGGGGTAGCCCATAGTCTTTTGCGACTACCACTCGAGAAGCTGCGTACATTGCATGTGAGCCTATATAGAAGTACAGAACAGGTAGCCCATAGTCTTTTGCGACTACCACTCAAGAAGCGCTGCGTACATCTCATGTGAGCCTATATAGAAGTACAGAACAACTCTGCTTAAAAGACGAAAGTGCTTACAAGGGAGTTAGCTCACGCCTTTCAACTGTTAAACTCATTGGACTCTAGCAGATCCTCGTTTTATAATGAGTGGTTTTCAAATCGCAGTCGCTAATTATTTCGTTTGAATCGCAGCTGTTTTAGATGTAGTTTGCGGGATAGCTTCCACAGCATTGCAGGACACGAATAGGGCGAATCGGGGGTATCTAGACGTAAACGAAATGTACTAGGCTGTTGCATAAGTTCTGTCCGATTTGAATTTTTGAGTTTAAAATGTCATAACTTCTTTCAGAGTCAACTTTTTTCCAAGGTCTTAGTTTCTATGTGTTGAGCAGTCCCTTGGCTAAAAAATGCATGTTGAGATCTGCGCAAATCTTTGTTAAGGAAGAACCAAGAATGCAAAAACTTTGCAGCGTTTTTCTTCGAATCTGTCTTTTTTGACATGGTAACGCTCCCTTATGAAAATTGATAGGCATCTTTTCTAATAATGGATGGATAGAGAAATTTTCGTAGATTATTATGCAACATAAAAGAGCCCATAGGGTTTGCGCTGCCGAGAGATTTTCTTGACCGAACAAAAAATTAGCCACTTTTTGACCTCGCTTCAGCACATGTGTGCATGCCTATTTATGAACTACGAACGTTTTACAACTGACGTGAGCGCCGAAAAGGAATTGGTGGATGGGCCCTGTTAGCTCTTGCTTTGCCCTAGCACCTCCAACTTTGAGCTTGTCGATTACTTCTATTCGCAGAAAGTTATTGCTTGTAAAACATCTATACCAAAGATTTATGTTCGAGGATAAATTTCACTAGCAAGACGTATTCTTCATGGGACCGAACTTCTGCATATACTAGCATTCCATACCCTTATTCCGAAGCCAATGAAAGAACCTGACTTGAAGGGCGCATTGTGGAGATATCCTCGCAAGGACATATTTCTAGGGATAGAACGTACCTCGGCCACTTAGAGATTTTAGGCCTGTGATCTCCGTACACTAAGAATTTTATTGAATTCTGGTATGCTTTAGAAAGCGCAAGGAAAGCACTTTTCAATGATTCCAACCGTATCGAATTAGAGATGAAATTCTCTTAGAACAGCTGCTTCAAACATGAGGCAAAAAAATCGGACAGAACTTATGCAACAGCCTAGTAGTTCCGCAACGGTCATAATTGTCCTTTTGAATTCATGTGCGTTCTGTACTCATGAAAGCAGTCCACCCACGCGCTATAGATGGGTTAGGTAAACAGCTTTCATTCGCCATTTAGCAGGGACCAAACAAGCTGAGGGAGGCGGAGGCTATATGTTTGTGCGCATCATCAACAAATTTAGTATAGGATAATGGACACCTGCGAACACACCGATCGGCGTCAGGGATGTTGTGGTCTTTCGAGTAAAATTACATTCTGCTGTATATTCTATTTGAGCCTGGTGCCGTGACTATAGTCTAGTCTTTCATTTCACAGTTAGTGTGATTACGTTCTATGCGCGATAACCCACAAGGAGTTGAGTTCTCTCAGACAAATGACCGGAACTTCCGCAGAGCGCTTGCGGAGGTTCCGCCGGGTCACCTGCGGAAGTTCCGTAAACGTGCTGCGGAAGTTCCGAAATGAGGTCCCGCGGAAGTTCCGAAGAATGCCAACCACAACAGCAAAAGAGAACACCGAAGCGAAATATGAACCTCACTCTATTGACTGTGAGACCCACCTACTATCCTCTACAGTACGGCTGACATGTTCGATAATGCACTCTAGTTGTTGGCAAGGCAACATCACGAGACAACGCATTCAGAGTACTGCGGAACCTCTGGCATTTTTCGGAATTTCCGCAGAACTTTGAGGAAGGTTCTGCGGAAGTTCCGGTTTTCAACCAGTTTGGCATGAAAATCCCGCGGAAGTTCCGATTTCCAACGTTTTCTTTTTGCAACAGTGAACAAAATCCTGCGGAACTTCTGCAAATTTGGCGTGTCCTGCGGAAGTTCCGGTGATTTGTCTGAGAAGTAGATATGTGGGAAATCCTTTCGTTTTGTTCGAATATTTGAATATCCGAATGAAATTTCGAATGAGTTTTTTCTTCGATTCGCCGAAAAAACGATTATTTGAGGAAAATTATTCGGTTATATGAATAGGATTCACATAAATGCACTTTCCCGAATATTCGACTTTTCTAGTTCGAATAAATCATTCGAATACGAATATTCAAAAAATATTCGGCTCTAACTATATTGTGCAATAGGGACACAATTGCTGTGGGTCTCGCCTTTGCTTACTGTGTAAGAACGTGTCACGGTAAATTTTTAGACGGGCGGAACGAACATAGCGGAGCCACCAAAGCTTAACCTCTCCATAGAATTTTTCCACGAAGTAACCCATCGCAGCGGAATTTGGGCATTTGTATAGTCTAGGCGACCTCTACCATAAAGCATCGGAATCTCATCATCCCCTTTATGGGTGAACGATACCTCATCTGTCAAGAATAAAAGATCTGATATAGTGAAGCAGTAGTGACTACAGTGGTTTTCGAATTGACTCAATGTATCTGACAAGGAAAGGATACCAGCATAATCTGGCAAACTTAAAAGAGATGTGTATCAGTAGACGCATCTTCAGACGCTGATTCCAAATCTGCTTTCCGTTTCTGCGGAGCAGCTTTCTGGAAAAAGTTACGATCTTTTGAATGTCCAAAATTGTCAGTTCTCAAGTGGCATAAAATTACGAAACTTGTACAAAAACACCTGAAAGTGGATAATCAATTCTGTACCTAGTATATTGTCTGCAATGAAGGGACAAGCCGGCCTAAATCCGCATGGGTGTTGTTGTAGGCTTTTCCCTGATTTTAAGCCACTTAAAGCTTGACAAATTCGGACATGAGAACGCTCATAACTTTTCTGAAGAGTTGTTCCGCAGAAAAGGAAAACAGATTTGGAATCAGCGTTTGAAGGCGCTTCTAATGATATATTAGGTTGTGTAATAAGTTCGTTCGCATTTTTTGTCTTAATTTTTTCTAGTATTTTGCAAAGCATTTGACAAAGGGTTAGTATGCATTCGAAAGCTCTAAGTCTGCTCTACCAAAATACTATCATTGTATTCCCAGTTTTCGAAAAGTTGAATAAAAAATTGATTACAAACCGAAAAATCTGAAATGGCGAAAAACCCATTTTCGACAAGTATGTTATGCTGAGTCTCGAATGGGTTTGAGCGCTCAAAGGCAGTGTCCGGGCAAAAACCCGATTTTGAGATTTTGTGCTTACTTGGGCCTATTCGCTACGCTGAATCCGAAAATGCACATTGTAGAGCGCGAAAATGGCGAAAAACGGCCCTAACACAGGAGGGAAATGAGCAGGTGGGCGGGGCCCTCCCCACTGCGAATTCACGTTCCCGGCTTCCGGAGCGACCTTCTCGCTTCCGGTTTCAAGTCAATCATTCGCACTTGACCGGTAGCGATGTTAGGACGGCTAGCGGAATCGAGAAAATCGCTCCGGGAGCCGGGAGCGTGAAATCGCACCGGGGAAAGCTCCGCCCACCTGCTGATTTCTGTCCTGTCTTAGGGCCCTTTTTCGCCGTTTTCGCGCTTTCCAATGTGGATTTTCGGATTCAGCATGGCGAATAGGCCCGTATAAGCACAAAATCTCAAAATCGAGTTTTTGCCCGGACACTGCCTTTAAGAAACAGCTCAAAAATTTTGCGACATAAAATTAGAATACCGTAGCTTTCGCAGATTACTTGTAGGTGCTAAAACCCTTTCAAAATTTCATGCTGTAAGCTCAAAAATAGGTATGTTTTTATGCCTCTTTGGCGTCGAGATTGGGCATCTAAAAGCACCTTTGAGGAAGGGTGGTAGCCGATCAACCCAAGAACTGGAAGACATTGTGGTCTATGATCGCTATGTCATCGAATAAATGGAATATATAGTCAAAAATTCAGAATTCGGGGGACACAGAGCCCACGTACGCGAGACAACGAACACCGCCGCTGCAAAGCCTTGCTACGCCGACTTTTGCAAAAAATGCATTAAACGGTCGGTGAAATAAAGTGGGCAATCGTAAACAGTTTCAGTAAGTGCATAAATGATTGGTCAGTTGTTTTTCTTCGCTGTCAAGCTTTTTGAATAAATTTCGACAATGAATGACAGGCAAACCAAGAAAGAAAAAAGATGTCGAAAATCTAATTTTTGTCATTTCAGATTTTTCGGTTTGTAGTCATATTTTTGTTCAACTTTGATAGAATTGAATGTATAATAACAGAAGTTTGATAGAGCAGATTTGGAGCTTCCGAACGCACACTTACATTTTGCCAAATGCTTTGCAAAATATTGAGAAAAATTCAAAACAAAAAATGCGGACGAACTTATTACACAACCTAATACATCTCTTCTTGGTTTGCCAGATTATGCTGGTATCCTTCCCTTGTGAGACTGTTTTCGTGAAGCTGTGGTTATCAAGCTAACAACGAAAACCATCAGAACTATCTCTGCTCTTTGCTTAGTTTTGCAATTATGTAACGTCAGATGAAGCATATTACTCCATCATTACAACGATGAGACCTTTCAAACTTTCCTTTACAGAGCAGACGTGAAGCAAGCCAGAAGAAGCAGTCAAATAAATTGAAGCGGTTAGGCATTGTTTACGACTTTGGAGCGGTACCGAGCAGTGCCAATATCGTAAGTTAACACTGAATGAGATGCCTCCAGTGAGCGCGGTTCTTTCCAGAGCTCATCGACCATAAAAACAGTCAAAGAAAAGCCAAAGGAGGACGAAGTGAGTTTACAAAATTTTACTAACATGATGTTTTCTAAATTTCTCTTACACTTGTTTTAGGCTTCTATATATGTCGTTCAAAACCCTTTTATATTTTATGAAGCTACTGAAAATGCGCATAAACCTTTTTGTAGGTAGCTGCCCAGTCAGACACGCCAACTCCTTCTATCAGACCCAAAAAGATCAAATCACACAAAGTCAACGTAAAAAAGGTGGCATACTTTTCCTCGTACCAAATTTGTTCTTCGATCGTGTTAAGAGATTTTTCTTTCTCAGATGAAGGGCAGCTTGCGAACATCGAAACTGAAGAAGTCTTCCAAATGATTGTTTTGTTGCTTGTTGTTTTGTTCATATTTTGTTATTGTTGTTGTTTGTTGACATATTTGCAAGAATTGTGCTTGTTGTTTCGATAAACAGCTATGGCAACAATTTACAAGTCATTCAAACCGAGCAATACTCCTACCTGTTTTGCGTGAATTATCGTCTACCTGTTTGGGCCAAGAGACCTTCAGTCCCAAAGAATTTGTTAAGCATTAGCACGCATTATAAACTCACGTTGTTGTGCAGAATACCTTAGCTGAGGAGTATTTTGAATTCTCTACACACAAGCAAAATATCAAATTGCGAATGTGGGAGGCGTCTAGTGGTGCCGTGGGTTCTATTCTTTGATATCCACTTTCAGACTGATTTTGGGTTGACTGTACAATTCATGTGACTATTTATAATCTCGATTTCATGGTGGAAGTCAGGGACATGAGGAGCCCCTGACTTCGACGAAAACATGGAAGTCGAGATTCTGGATGGACGATGCCTAGAATTTGTGAATTTCTAGAAACTTCGCTTGTTTATCCCAAATTTGCACTTACAAATTAAGTACACTGAAAATTACGCGCGCAACATCCCCTTTCTAAGTTCTGTACTTTAAGCTGTAGCAAATCTATCTAAGCGCTCGACTGCCATTCGAAGTTGTTCAATATTCGACTATCCAGGAAATCCAAAATTGATTCCAAAGTCAATGCTTGCTAATTTGTGAATATCCATTTCCAATATCTTTATTATTTGACAGTTCAAAAGTCTAGATCTCCAAATGAGTCTGATAGCCCAGCTCTCAACGTTTAAAATTGTTTGACAACAACAAAATATTCGATTACTCGCAATAATTCCGGAGGAATAATTCAGTTAGTCGAGTATTCAAAAAATAACGGATTAAATTTTGGATACAATCTCCTTAGAAGTCGATTACTTTCGAAATTCAACTGGGATTGTCCGACTTTCAGATGCTCGACATATTTGGATTTCGAATGTATCCCATTATATGAGGTCCCATACGTCTTTTCATTCTCGAATTTTTACTACAATAAACCACTCCACTCCTTACATACTCAAAAGTGTAAAGAGTGCTATCAGTAGAGCAAAGCTAGTTCTAGAAGATGGCGTTTAGATACACCGAATTTGATCAGTATAAAGTTTCAAGCCAGAATCTAAAAAGTACTAGATGCTCGAAAAATCTAAAAAATCAAAACGTCTAAAAGTTCCAGCGACCTCGAACTTGTTGGAGCATATACCTTTCTCACTGAGTATTCATATGTGCGCTTACCGTATTTTCCATTTGTAGAATTCGAAAAAATAAGGCATGTTTACGTCAAAGCAATGCTGTGCTGTTCCCATATGATTAAATCTATAGTATAAACATTTATAAGTATGACCAAGGATTTTCAGTTTTTTTACGAGTTTTGGTTCTTGAGAAATATCAGGTATAGCATGAAAATTCCAGAAAAGCGACTTTGAGATTTTGTAACTTTTACTTTTTCTCAACTTCTAGCCATGGGAAATTGCAGAAACTGTGCACATGAATAATAGATGTGGAGAATAGAGGTGTGAACAAGTTTTTAGAATTTTCCCGAGGGATATCCATCCAATTTCGGGCATTTGTGAAATTTGGAATTTTGGCTTTACAACACGTTGATTTTGCGACTTTTTGTAACTCTGTGAAGCTTGCATTGCTCTATCCGATATCATTAGAGGTAAACAGATTTTCGTTATTATGAACTGTTGGAGCAACCTAACGCTTCAAATATATTCAATTTGTGATTGTCGAGCATATCCAATTATTCGATTGTTCAAAAACTTTTCGAGGTTTTACTGTAAACTAAGCCCATATTCACTAATAAATCTGATTTATCGTACAAATAGGTAATGAAATAATGATATGAGGTCCTATGACTCATGATATCAAAGATCATAGCCTTGTACCACTATCTGGTAACCAGCTCCTCAATCAAGCCCTTCGCACCGGGGTCATTGAATTCTTAACAGAGCAGCATTAGAGGATAAACACTAGTAACCAGCTGATTTTCGCGGATCATTGGTGAAGTCTTGCAAGCATTAAGTTGCTCTTCGAAGAATCGTTAGGAAAACTAAGCAGAATTTGTTTTGTATTGAATACTCTTCAGCTAAAGAAAGGACACAGTGATTTGATTTTGGCTGAATAATTTCTGATTAGTCGCGAGTATGATGGCTACCACACTCCATAGTATTTGGTGAACTTTGTTTAGTGGTTCACAATTGTTAGTGAGGTTTGGTTGCAGTACGAGGAAGAGGGGAGTAGGAAGAAAACCAGCAATTAGTAAGAAGACTTTGGCGTGATTATCCTATATGAACTTTGAAAATACACCAAGAATCCATCTGTCATAATGTTTCCAGGCGGAAAGTCTTTCGTGGGACTGGAAAATGCGGGCGTAAATTTGGATTGGTCAGTTCGATGCAGAAAGCCTTGACTTGGAAAGTGTCCCCAGTCAAAAATACAAACAAGAATACAAAACTTCTTTATTTTTGTAGTCGAACTGAGCGTAATTACCCTGAAATCTGGCCAATAAGTCCGCGTTTTTGACCCTAATAAGTCCCACATCAGTTGGTCAGCCTACAGATAAGTTCTTTTTTTTTCATTATAGCTCCTAAAACCCGACATATGAGTCCGAAGCCGCCTTACTTGTAGTGGACTTATCCGCAGACGGATTTATCTGCTGGAGACCCTTTATGCCAGATTTTAGGGTAAAACAACAGTGTAACGAAATTGTGATGCTGATTTCGTCCTATCAGCTGTGGAGCTTGTAAAGCCACTGCTCGTTAGTTATTGCAACCACTTCCATTTCCCATAAGTGTGCTGATTAGCAGAACATCCTGATGTAATTTTACTTCAGATGCGGTATTGAAGTACCGATTATACGTCCCACTGGTAGAACCCAAGTGATACCTTTTCATACTAAGGCCTAAGAAGGGTCGTAGATTTTTTAGCCGCAACTTGGAAAGCTGAAGGTGAATCCCATAAACTCCTAGCACGACGTGTCCCTTATTGGGACACCATACAACAGCTCCGGGAGGTTTCGACGAAAGACTAGTCAACAAACCTGAACCCTTATCAAGGAGAAGAGAATGAGCACTTTGGGAGAACTCACCAGTCTGTCAGTGAATCTTTCGCAGTTTTACCCCAGCGCAATCTCAAATTTGAGCAAAACCCTTCAACAAGATGTTCTTTAGCGTGCTGGTTATAAATGTGACAGAAGTTCGTCGTCAACATTTTCTGAAGAATTTAGCGACTTCTTTAACTTCTATATGTAACCACCATAACCTCATTTGAAGACAAAAATTAAACAGAAACAAAAAAAAAGGATTTATCAGCACTATTTTCCTGATTAGCACTAAAATAACCTGCGAAATGCTTCCACGAGATGTTTATTTCGGTGTTTTTGAAGGAGATGTATCAATTTTTTGAACGATTTTCCCCCTTATCAGAATTTGCTCTCGTCATCCCACATTTCCAGTGTTTACACTACAGGTGTCGTAAACCGGGTCGAAGAGGGGTGAAGATGATTCATAGTCCAGCGATAACGAGCGATGACATGCTCTATCAGACCATGAAGACGATTTGCTGCCGATTCGACCTCATCGGCCGTGATCGTTACGCAACGTCATCCGTCTGCGCCCGGGCAATACGTCATTGGAGCATGCTTATTAGATGCACAATATACAATGTGATACGCATCTACTCATTATCTCGCACATTTTCGTTGCGAGACGATGCACTTGGGAAGCGTAGCAGAATATAGATCCGACACCGCTCTTATTTTCTGAAAAGGCGACGCAAAGTCGCCCGATTCATGTGACATCACCTCAGCGTGGCCATATCTCGCTTCAGATTGAACGAATTATTAATCCAAGGACACCATTCGACTCTGCGCGGCGCGGCGCATCTCCTGGTATATAGCTTTGCCCGCTCGAGCACTGTAGAATGCCAGATGACATGATTAGTTTCAGTTTTTGGTTACAATAGGTTGCCCAATGATTGCATTGAATAAGCACACTGAATAACCTACCGTAAGCAAAAATCTGGAGCGATTCGCTGAATCTGGTCTCCTAGTGTCTCCTGTGCCCAAACAGGCCCTTCTACATATCACAAGATGCGCCGCGCTGAGCTGAGTCGAATGGTGCCCTTGGATTAAGAATTTGTCCAATTTAAAGCGAGATATGGCCACGCTACGGTGATAACACCTGAATCGGGTGACTTTGCGTCGTTCTTCCTAAAAACACGAGCGGTATTGTGTGCGTATGTGTGTTTTTTTCTCAGAATTCAAGACGATGCATTTTTTGGCCAAATGTTTAACATATAATACACAGCAGAACAAACGGTTGATACAGTTTGTCTGCGAAGTCAACAAGATTTGCGCTAAAAGAACAGCCTGCTTCTTTTAGTACCAACAACTTGCATTGAAATTCGCCATAGAGCGCACATTCTTGAGTTTTACGCCCTATAGCCATTCTTCGTGCACTGTTTTGTCAACAACCCATGTCCACGCTTTCAATGAAATCATTTTTGTAGTGTGATTTGAGCTAGGATGTAGTGCACACAAGGCGTTTCATCCCACGACCTGTGCTTTGAGATCTGCTAGTTAGTGTTATATGGTTTTTCTTTTTTCCTTTCAACGCTGGGCGCGGTGTGAACACTAAAGCATAAAGACTAGGAACTCTGCTACAATCTAGAAAAAGTGCTAGAGCTTTTTCTCAACTTTTCTTGCAAACGCTTCATAGCCCTAGAGACGCCAAATCTTTTTTCCTGTGAGATCAAGAGATTGGCATCAAAGTCCTCAGATATCACGGTCGAATCTCTTTACATTCTAGTCGCTTACGATGTTGCGACGTATGCTTGTGCCCCTGTAATTAGTCGTTATGATATGTATTTATGTTTCTGGCAGAGACGGCAACTTGCACGGTGAATGTCAAAGATGTTATCGGCACATAAACGGCCGACAGACACATCCTCACTACCTGTTTCGTCCCAGCAGACGTTTGGAGAAGGCACACACTGATGTGTGTGAAATTAGATCTATGGTGAAAGTGAAAACGATGAGCTAAGAAGATGATGCCGTTGGTGGTACTGGAACATTGGCAGAATTATTGGAAACAATGGGACACACTTTATAAGGAACGGGGATATATTGGAGTGGCAAAAGGCATTTCGGTTTGTTTGTAAAGATGGTAAAAATCTCGAAATTCAAAAAAGTATTTCTCCGGGAAGCTGACCACATAAGCGTATAAATGTCATTTACTGATGACGGATAATTCTGATTATCTGATAGGTGAGAGTAAAGGCATGAAGTGATCTTCTCGCAAAAAAATCTTAGCTAATTAGCTGCTAGTCAACTTGCTACAGAGCTTCAAATTTGCAGGTCAAAACACCATTTATAGCCAAACTAATAATTTTACAGAACTGCAAACAGTAGACCTTATGTTGCGAAGTTGTCGTCTTTAGAAGTTATCCATTTTCTTGCCGTCTTCAGAAATTTCTTCAGGAAAAACTTCTTCTAATCCAAAGACTTCCAACTTTGTTTATATGAACACCTACGATCTTACACCACAAAACAAGATCTTGGAGGATTGAAAGTGCTCAAAGAACCGATTCTTTTTTTTGCGATGTCATATGCGGAGCCCTTAATAAGAGTCCATAATTTTGTTTTCCATCTCCGGCCCTTTGCAGTACAGCGTCGATTCTCATCCGGCACTGATTGGAGATTCGGTTTTTCGATCAATTCGATCAACTTACTTTTTAAAATGGGCGTCTCGATCAAATTTTGCAGAAGTAAAAGTGCAATGTCCACCATTCTCTAATCTTTTCATTATTGGATTAGAAAGCAGTGAACTACTTAATTTAATATATAGAGAGTCGTTAGCTCAATTCGAAAATCTGCAAATGAAGGGAAAGCGAGGGCGGGTGAAGCGAACGCTCTTCCAAAGAGCACCTTTAGATTACTGTTTCACTAGTTCAGAAGTAAATTTTTTTAAGATATAAAATTGACTTGTTCCACTGACTATAGTACAACCTTCCCAAAAATCGCTCACTCTTTTCCATCGGTCGAAAGTGTGACGGCAGACGTTTCTGATTTGAAATAGTTGCTGAATTGCTCAATGTATCTTGTAACTGTTCTTTACAATGACAAGTTTCAAATCTCTTGTTCTTTCATATGCAATAAAAAGGTAAAAAAGGGAAATAATGAGACGTTGATTCTTATCGTAGTATCCAAGTGCGGTCAATATTGATGAAAATGATGAATGTAAACGTTGAGCACAGAAAAATGTTTTGGCTGATGCAGTTAACCCTTTTCAGAGAATCACAGCATTTTTACTTCTCACTATTTTATTAAAATTACCAAGAGCAATTCCTCCCCTCTAATTTTCTCGTTTGACAGTTGTAATTCTGTTGTTAATAGCATTCTCTTTTCCTCTTAATAAATTTGCTCTTTTTGCCAGTGCGATGCTATCTATATAGTCATTATTAGACTAGAAAGGACTCTTCCTCATACTTCCGCGTTCACCAAAGAATGGCTACTTCTCCAGAATGAACATCATCGGTACTTTATGATAGAGTAAGCTATCTGTCGAAAATTAGCTAATCCAAACCTATTTGGTTCATCGAGTGTGAATTACGCGGCAAAATCGCTTTTACTTCTAATTTCTTTCCGCTAATCAGCCTTAATTGCCAATCGCCAATGACATCTGAGTACCGTAGTCGGAATTATTCATTTGTCAGCAGAGAGGCGGTTGATTCGGCGCTGTCAGCAGCGGCGCGTCAATTAGCCGGGGGCGTGTCGGCGGCGGTTGATTGGCCGACCTGCCGCGGGGCGGGTCCGGTTGATTGGTTGCACCTGAGCGCGCGGCAAGTTACGACCGCTCCTATCGAGTTGTGCCGTCGATGATGCACGAGAAACTCAAGTTTGGCATCGACTCGATCCTCGATCCGTGCTTCGGGCGAAGTAATCCGGATCGGAAGCTGCTTCCCGAGAAAGTGCCGCTGGATCTGCACAGCTCCAACACCACTAGCCCCAATTCGTCGTTCGGCGCCAGTCCGCCAGCGCCAGTCATTGATAATCGTGCCCTCTTCCCAGCTTGGGTCTTCTGCACACGATATTCTGATCGCCCTTCATCTGGTAAGCTCTTTATACCACTAACCTGCTACTGGCAATTTGCCAACTTCGTTTGACCGCAAAATTTGTTAATTTTCTTCTATAGAGATATCTTTCGATGCAGAGGTATTTTCTTTCACAATCAAAGTATTCAGCAGTCTTATACAATGTATTCTAGCCTTCTGTAGTAACATTTAATCTGACTATTTATTTTATTTATGTAACTCCCATAACGAATTTGTACGTGGAAAACTCTTCTTACAATACTGCTCACAGAATGTGCAAAATTTCCGTGAACGTCGCAGAATTCCAGGAATTTCGCGAAATACCCGAAATTTCGCGAACCTTGGCGGAATTCCTGGAATTCTGCAACATTCACGGAAATTTTGCACATTCTTTGAGCGGTATTGTATTTCGCACAGAAGTCTGAAGTTGATATCTTGATCAGAACTTCCAGTCATCAAGAAAATTGATTAAAAACCGCTTTTTCTCTTTTCAGAGCTCAAAAATCCATTTTCCCTTTCTTGTTTTCTCGCTGCTCTAAAACTATAGAGAGGATCACACATGAATGGCATTTTGAGTCCGTTCAAGTATCAGACACTTGTTCCACTCGCTCCCATACATTTAATTGACGCGAAAATTCAAATGTTCCTTTTTGAGATTACGGTAGCCGAACATCACATCAGCAATCAGGAAGCCGGCGCGCGAGCGCCTCCTTGTTTTACTGCCTTTGTGCGCGTGTTTGTGCGCGTTATGTGCAATGAAAATTTTCCGACACCTCGTGATTTAGACGGTAAACGGCGCGAGTTTCAAGTTGTCACTATACATGAACTTTTACGTTCTTAAGCGCCATCAGGCCGTTGCAGTGAACTGGTGATTTTCGCTCTTGTTTTCGAAGTGATCGAGGCGGGAAGAAGATATTGGTGAAACGCTAGTGATGTGTAAATTTATGGCTATATCCTTCATTGCAAAATCTATGTTAAAAGTCGCAGATATAACAAAGATGAAAACGCAGCAACTTTATAAAAACTTTCGCTTCAAGCTAGTTCTGGGATTTGCGAATGCAATACAATCACAGCCTTGTCTAATTGTCTAAAAATTAGTATTACTAATTGAAACTTTTGATGAAAGACAACGTAAGCCGCTGGAAATGAGCTGAGTTGTTATACGCTTTAGCATGCGCCTCTAATCATTTTGGAGATATTGTGCCCATATTCGAAGACCCTAGTTACGGCTACTTATATGAGTAGCGTTAGGAAATTACAGCTAAGCCGTTGCCTTAGCCATAGTCCACCTGTTTCGTTTTGGTGAAGAATTCAATTCTAAAACTCTCGCCTAAATCGTACCATGTCCCATCCGATCAAGTGACATATCCCGATGGATGTAAACTATGGTCCGTACGAGAATTAAGAGCTGAATTTTTTTTGGCTATGAATGGATCCTATCTGCCGCTTAGGCACTGGCTAAGTTTGGCAATTAAATGCCTCACAAGAAACCAAGTGCTCAGATTTTCTTGGATTGTCTCTGGGATGACTCTTTCTTGCTAGGACCATTTTAGTGCTGAATTTTTCTGAAAATTTTTAGATGTGTTAAAACTGGCAAATTGGTAATAGAATCATAATACGATGAATTCTCGCTCATTTTTGGCTAGTCGCCGTAAGTTGGTTGTACTGTAACCAGATTCTCCCGGGCGTAAATACCTGTAAGTGCTGTTTTTGGCGATTTTACTGCTGTGGAAATCACAATCAGCGCATTAAGACAAATGCAATTTCATGAATCATATGAAAGATTGTAACAGCTTTTACCTTGCATGAGCTAACTCTCATCGGTGTTTGTAAAACAATAGTAGTAATAATAATGATATTCGTCGAAGTTATTGAACAATTTCTAGGTCCACGTTCTCGAAAACCACGAAAGCGTGAAGTAGCCGAAGAAGAAAAGCGACCTCGCACTGCATTTACTCCTGGCCAGTTGGACCGACTAAAGAAACAATTCCTCGATAACAGGTGACATTCACTTGAGTAATCTTTTCGGATTATTGCTGACACAAGTACTTTCAGATATCTGACCGAAAAGCGGCGGCAAGAACTTGCACATGAACTTGGCCTCAACGAATCCCAAATCAAAATATGGTTCCAGGTAATCATCAATCATCACTTTGCCAAACTCTCTCCCACCCTATTCACCCTCTAATTACAAGTCTTGTCCTTTTGTAATTAGTCGGCATCAGCGTAACGTTGTAACGAATGCGGAGATTACACGCCAAGATACCTTTTCGTATCTAGGATATCGTTATGGGACATCGTGGGAGTGGGGGGGGATAGGTACCATCAGGTACTGTAGGGTAAAGATGTTTGAACTTCGCGCAAATCTAAGTTGGGAGTAGTGCTTGTGCGAACCTGAGCATAAGGATTTTCTATGTGGAAAGAAGTCGGAAGGCGTTGATTGAGACATTTCTCATGTGGCAGGTCATAAATATTAGTCATCGCTGAGAAATTTAATTCTAAAATCTCGCCCATACCGTACTCCTTACTGTACGTATGTACGGTCTGGGCAAAAGGTTGTAACTTGACCATAATACGTCTAAACACTGCCTTTGAGCTAAAGTGTAATTTAGCTACGATAAAAAGCGGCTTTACGGGTGGGGTTGAAAGAAGATCTTATCGCGCTAATTGCCTACCGTGCCTAGGGCAACATGTTTCACCAGCGCCAGGGGCAAAACATCGAAAGGGGACTGACAAATTCTCTCATTTGCAGTGAATGTCAAGGACATAGCTACCGTAATTGCTACAAAAATAAATGCAATTTCTGTAAAAAGTCGAGCAAATAGTGACAGCTGTGTTAGGCAAAGCACTAATTACTACACTCTTTTCACACTCACTTCTAACAAACCATTTTTTAGAACAAACGAGCCAAACTAAAGAAAGCCACTACGGAGCGACCGCCACTCTCCTTGCAGCTGATGGCACATAGCCTCTACCATCAGAATGTTATCAACCCATAAAATTTGCTTCTGTGAATCTCCCATTCCATGTTTCTCTCGTCGAGTTCTTCATCAATCCGACCTCTGATAGCTCAGTTACTTTGTATATGCGATGGATTCGACATGCTTCTTTTAGATGACTAGTAATGCATAATGTGAATAGGTGATCATAGTGTGATAGAGAAGCCCAATTGCTTCGTTGTGTAAAGTTTTTCATTGTTCAATAAATCTATGCTGATAATCCTGAGCTAGTATGTGTGTTTTTGTCTAATTGTTTTATCCACTTTGCTTATTTTGAGTCATGCCAATGGCCGTTCAAGCAGCAGCAGAGGTCCATAGTAGTTTTCTTATTGTTAGATCACGTGCCAGTGAATACCACTGCCAATAAGGGGGTGAAAATTCGAAACGTACAGTCGAAGTATGAAGTAAAGATAGAGGTCGCTTCAATAACCGGCAATGACATTAATAGTGAAAAAGATGGTTGCACCTTGTCTTAATTTATTTTGAAAAATAAAAAACGATTCGGATTACCCTAGAATTAGAATTGACCCTTGGGAACTTTTAACTTTTAATGGTGGGTTCTCGAGGTTTTCATGGTCTCGAGCACGAGAATTTGACCTTTTTGTAGAAGTTATTTTCCGTATTTCTTGGAAGTAGTTTCGCCATACAGTTAACACCTCCTACTGCTTCATGCAGACTCTCAAAAATCTACAAATTCAAAGTTCAGATTCGCCCCATTCCCGCAATAACTTCTTTTTCATAGTGTTCTCCCGACTGCAAAGCCATTTCAGCAAGTACTCTACATCCTTGGGTTATTGAGAACTGAGAAAAACAAAAGAAAGACAAACTGAGAAATAACATTGAGCTATGGTACCAAAAAGCGTATCCGACTGTAAAAGTGACAACATCAGGTGGAACTACTGTATCTCAGCCGCACTGTGTTTTTTGTGCATCCAGCTCTTCTAAGTTCGCTGTGTATGGTTTGAAATGATTTACACTAATCTTTTTATCGTTGGAAACATGACTGGGAGAGCAAACGACGCACGACTTCATTGGAAAGGATTTTAAAGCCACTTTATCCTCATTTGAAGCGCACACATGTGGAAATCAGTGCTACATAGAACACAATTTTGAAATATTTGCTGAGTGCAAGCTCAAACTTTGAAGAGGAAATAAGGAGGACGTATACTTTACAAATGTGTCTCTTTTGCAACATTATTTACTTGATCAAGTCTGAAAGTCGGCTTCATTGCGACCGTAAAATGCTGCGATCGATTCCCGTGGAAACTTTTTTGGCAAGAGTTTCTTCTGAATAGTGTACCCAGATAGTCTTTCCTCCCTTTCTTTGCTATCGCAGAACTCTTGCTTTCTCACTCGAGCTTCAGAAAGACTTATAACATTTCGAGTGTAAGCTGTAGGTTTGGTGTATTGACCGCAAACGAAGCGTAATTCCGCTAACAGGCGAAAGAAGGAAAAGCGAAAAGGAGCACTTTTATTTTTTTTTCTATCGTTCCTCTCTTGTTTCTGCCTTATGTCTGATCTTCATGTAGCAAACAAGCTTATCCTCCATTATTGTCCTCAATCCGAGCAACTTCTGTTCGATTCAGTGAGAGTCTAGAGAGGTTTTTGGTTTCTGCTGTAACGATGAGTGGTCTAATGTTATCTCCGAAACACGTGCCATATAGGAAACACGCGTTTGGACTTATAGAAGAAGACAACTCGGATTTTTGATGTGATTAAGTTAGTGCAAGCGACAAGTGTCAGAGTGAATCACTCGTCGAGAGTCTCGATAAAATCGCGCCTCGTTACTTGGAGAAGATGGCGCGAACAACGTGCCAATTTGGCGCTTATTCTTCACCAAAATTTGGATTCTACCTTCTAAAGGAGCCGCACAAACCCAGAAGGCGAAAGCGTCCACCTCTTGCATGAACAAAGGACGCCAAGGTGTGTGATGATGGATAGCGACCTGTGCGGGGCCAAACGACAACCGATATGAGAGATAAGCGAGGCATATAACCGTGACATGTTGAGCTGCGAAGAAATCGGATCACCATCAGGTCCTTCAATATAATTCTTGGTTCAAAAAAATTGATTAAACGAAGTTGCGTTGATAAGCGCTGGAAGATATCTAGCTTCCGAAAAATGATCTATTCATTCTTACCAGGATGACTTACTTCATCTCCCCTTACCATCCAGCATTTATGGCTTCATGAGAGACTGACAAGGAAAGGAAGGTTATTCGAAGTGGCCTTTGAATATGAGATGGATACTGCCTCGAAGGGTATGGAACGCTAATTCCACTTTATTTGCAGCGGGTTCTTGTGCGAGGAGTTAGGGGCAGCAATTACGAAGCCTTTTATGAGCAAAAATTTGCATGTGCAACTAGTCGTAACATTAGTCGTAACATTGTTCTACGGCTCATGTTTTTTGTCCAATAAATATTCTTAATTCAAGCATATCCACTTGACTCTGGCACTTCGGAACGGTGGGAAAACTCATAGACTGTTTTTATACTTTCATCACTTTCATTTACATTGATCATGCATTGAATTTCTTGCCCATAAACACCTTCAAAACTTCTTGCTCAGAAACCGCAGGAAGTTGTATTTGGAGTCAGCGTTTTATACTCTTCAAGTAAGTATACATCCCATACAGAAAGGGCTAACCTCCTTTCTCTTAGCTCACAGAAAACCTCAACAACACTGATTTCTGATCCGCTGTTTATCTCGGAATGAAATGAGAATTTGGCATAGGTGGCTGCTAACAATGCTTGTAGATATCATCTTACAATGGTGTTTATGTTTCTTTTACGTTTTCTTCAACATTTGGGTCACTGGAAACAAGTAGTATGAATAGTCGAATGAAAATTGCCGATCATTGCTGATAGTCAGTTAGCTAACGAGTTCTTCATCTCTACAAATAATCTAGGGGCTCCGTTTTGTTCATTTCCTTTTGTTCTTTCTTTCTTTGCTTCTCTCTCTATCTCTCTCTCTCTCTTTCGATCTCTCTCTCTCTCTCTTCGTCTGTCAACGCTCTCACTCTCTTCTAATGTTGACTAATCGTTGTTTTAGGTTGAACCTGCACTGGCAATAATTTTCAGAAAATCACTCTATTTTCCCTAATCAATCATGATTTACACGAACACAATCCAGGTCCACCGAAATTGAGGGTGGCGAGATAATACGGTAGCTGCCCCCATGACTAGGATACGCCCAAGTCCCGCTGCAAAAGGTGCAGTCAAAAGCGAGAAAGTCCCTCCAGAAGGTAGAAATGGAATTGGTGGCTTGGCTTATCAATGTGGACGGTCTCTGAAAACAACAAATCCGAATTACCGATGGCTGATACAATGCGTACTTATTGTTAGTGTTTCTACATAACAATTTTTGTTGCCCTTTTTCCAATTGCGAAAAAAATTGCTTTCGACATTAGCTTGCATATGCCTTGCTTTTGCGATTTAGTAAATAGGTAAATGAAAAAATATATCTGAGTGCTATTTGGATACAGAGTGACTACGCCATGTGTAAATGACATTCATACTTGCAACCAGATTTGGTTATGAGATACAGAGTACATTAATTTCACGCGTACAAGGCGCGGGGGATTTTTTTCCAAAATTGACTAGCCCAAATACGCCAAAGAATTTTGCAAACAAAGGACCCTATACCGTGCTGTATATTTCTTAAGAGAATCGTACAGCATAGGGATCGCTTTCTGAAATACTTCGGAGCGGTTGAGGGGTTTGATTGAAAAATCGAAAAAGGTGCGCATTGCACGCGTGAAATTAGGGTAGATTCTAATGTATCCAAACACATATTTTCCACCTGAGGTTAGGATCTTTTAGGTCGAGATAACCCATACCCTTCTTTTAAACTATTACGCTCAAACAAAAAAGAATTAGGGAAAACGCCAAAGAAGACCATGGAGCCAACTGGATATGTGCAGTTGCACACATAAGGCAATCTTCCCAGCCATTTCTCTTGCTAGAACGGGAAGGGCGACATCTCGCTTACCTTTGCAATTATGTAAGTGACTGCTAAAAAGTTCAGCAGAATTTTGGAAGCGTTGACGTTATCGTTCGGCATCGCGCTACCTTGGGCATGTGTCGAACGGAAGGCATGCAGCGCGCTCGACATCCAATTAATTTCGGGATCTTTTTATCGGCGGGAGAAATCGCAATCTCGAGGCTACCTTTCAGTATCGCGACTTCAATTAGATCTGCAAAGGCGATAGACGACGGCAATGCGGTAAATCGCTTTGCTTCCTCTGACAGCCGACTCTGAGCAATTAAACGCCAAGCGTACACGGCCACCATTAGAGGTGATCGGGCGCTTGAGGACGTTCTGCCCTGGATCTAGCCTCTCGTTGTCCGCTAATTCAATTAGATCTCTGAGCAGATACTTGACAACGTAAGTGCGGTAGGTTGTCAGCGAAAATTGGCTACTAATGCGCCAATTAAACTGCGATCTCAATGTGCTATGCAAATCGAGCCCGTGTGCTCAGCTTCACAAAGGCTGGCAGGTACAGAAACAGACAGCTTTGTAGGGTTGCTACTTTTTCCACTACAGCTCACTAGTGTAAGTTAGTTCAATAATACTCTAGACTCAAAAACACTGGTCTTTCTTATACTATCAATTCTGTCCGCGCAACACTGACTTTGAAGGCAACATACGAGCATCTTGCTTAAAAAGTCACTTTCCTTTATTCCTCCGAGTGTTGAGCATGTCACATGTATTACGTGTCTTTGAAGTGACGCACTGTTCATGAATAGTATAACATAATAGCATCAATAAATAAATAAAATTGCTTTTATTGAAGTCATAAATTAACCGTATGCGACAAGATATACTACCTGTACAAACAATGATCAATCATGTATCATCGGCTCCAAGATTCGTGTGGAGGCGAGTTGCGGACTTCCCTGATTTTAAGGATAAATGTTAAACCTCCACGTTATAGCATTTCGTACTCCCTCGTTAATATCTTTAGAATTAGGGTAGTCCGCAACCCGCCTGCACACGAAT